CTTGCTTTAACAGTAATAATAACTCCCAGAGGCTTTTGGGAAATTAACATTACGTGAGTGGGTAATAATAAAAAATATCATCATAAGATATATGGACAGATTATATTGGGTAAATGATACATTTATTGTTACCTGTGTAGTACATATATCAGAGCTTGTAGTACACATATCAGAGCTTTTCAAAATATTTCAATTGTTTATATTTAATGTTAACCTTTTGAATATGATATAAAATCAATATCACTCACTGTATGTCACTAACTATAAGCAATATAACGCAGTCGAGTCTTTCTCGTCTTATGCATAATTTTTGTCTGATTTCATAAATTTGCATAAAAGTAGGTTTTACGTTTTGTTCTCTATGACATTGTATATAATTTCACTGAAATAGTTAACAGATGACTATAAAAATGAATTATTCTTTGTTTGCAAATCCACTAAATGAACTACGTCATATGTCATATTTGTTAACTTGCTTTTGTGTTCCAATGCTTCACTGACTTATCACTCAGATATATATCATATTCACTCAACATAAATATAACATATAACTGGTTTTATTGAAACGTCACGGGAACGTCATAAATGTAGAATCATTTGGCGCCATTATTGATATTGTCTGATATGGAACGCCATAGCTGCCTCGTGTTTTATTTTACATTTTTTTTTATCTTTCTCAGAAAGCGTCTTATTATGTCAAATATAAGCATTGTAATTTGTCGACTTGGTCTAAACATTGCCTTATTACATCTAACAGTAGTCTTATCTCTTTAAAATGTGATGTTGACTTGTGTTAACATTGTTTAATTATTTCAAACAGTAGTGTTATCATGTCAAAAATGTCGTTTTGGCTTGTCTGAAATGTGTCATATTATGTCAACTAGTCGCGCTATTTGGTCAAATTGTGGAGCTGTTTTTTCAAAAGACTGTCTGATCATTTGAAACAGTAGTGTTCTCTTGTCGAAATTTGGTGTTGACTTGTAAAAGCACAGCTTTATTTTATCAAACTGCCATGTTATTTTGTCAAAATACGGTGTTTAAATGCCTAAACATTGTCTTATTGTGTCAAACAACTGTGTTAATTTGCCAACGTACACTACTGAATTGTCTTTTTATATCAAATATTCGAATTATCTTGCCGAAATGGGGTGTTGACTGGGCTAAATCATGCATTATTATGATAAACTGTATGCTATGTTGTCAAAAAGCAGTTTTGACTGGTTAAAACTCAGTCTTATAAAGTCAAAAAATTGCTGTATCTTGTCGAAATGTGGTAATGACTTGTCTAAACTCTTTCTTATAATGTAAAACAGAAGTGTTATATTGTCGAAATTTGACGTTTTCTTGTAAAACACAGAAACAGTCTTATTATGTCTGATAATTGTGTAAATTTCTTCAAATTTAGTTCTGTCTTGAGAAAGCGCTGTCTGATTTTCCTTAACTGTCCCGTTATCGTTTTTGCTCTATCTTTTATCGCTCCGCGCGGGCTCTGGTCACGTGATACTAAATTTTGACAACATCGCATCTGGACAGGATAACACGATTAATCTGACATAATGAGACGGGATTTAGACATGTTAACGTCATAAACTGGCAAGTCAACATAATGATACTGTGTTTCCACAAGTAAACACCACCTTTGAAAAGGAAAAAAAGATACTTCGCCATAAAAGGACAATGTTTAGTAACAATAACACCGAACCTTGACAAAATAAAATCACACTTTGACAAAAAGATAGTAATTTTAAACAAGTCATCACCACGTTTCGACAAGATGATATGACTATTTGACATAATAAGATGGAGATAGACAAGTTGAATCTGCATTTGGACATAATAGCATGACAGTTAGACAAATTAAAATAGCGTTTTAACAGTTCATAACCATAATTGGTAAAGATACCACCATTATTTCACATAATAAGACGGTGTTTAGGCCGGTTAACATAAAGTTTGGACAAAATAACATGGCGATCTGAGAAAATAAGGCAGTGTTTAGACATGTCAATACCATCTTTCGACAAGTCAAAAATACTGTTTGACATAATAAAATAACGTTTACACAAACAAACACAATTTATTGGCAAGTCAACATTAGTATTTCAAATAATAAGTATATTTTAACAGGATAACAACAGTTTCAGACAAGACAGCATGATGTTTTGGCACAGTTAGACAGAATAACACCACCTCATACAAAGCAACAAAACATTTTGACAAAACAGGACAGCACTCAGCCTGGTCAATATAACGGTTGAACAAGATATCACTACTAGCCAACATAATAAGACATGAGTTTGACAAGTTGACACCAAGTTCTGACAAGATAACACTACTGTTTCACATAATAAGACACTTTCTAGACAAATTACCACAACGGTTGGACAAGACAGCATGCTATTTTGACATAAAAGACATTCTTTAAGCAAGATAACACCGAATTTGAACACAATGACATCGCAGCCTGACAAAATGTGACGGTGTTTAGACAAGTCAATATCACATTTGGACAAGACAAAACGACAGTATAACATTATACAACAGTGTCATAACATACCAGGATCACATTTGGACAAGATGACACCAACTTCCGACAAGATAACATTACTGTTTCACATGATAAGACAATTTCAAGGCAATTCAACACAACATTTAAACAAGTCTTTGTTCAAACATAATGAAATCTTTATTCGAAAAAATGGCGTGCATGTTATACATATTAAGACTTCCATTCGGCATGTTAACACCAGATTTACACATGATAACATGACGTTTTGAAATAATAAGACAGTGTTTAGACAATTCAGCACTACGTTTTGACAAGATAAAATGAATATTTGACCTAATAAGACTTCGTTACAACAGGTTCCCATAAAATGTTGGCAAGCCAACACTTCTATTATACATAATAAGACGCTTTTAGAGAAAAATAAAACGAAATAAAACAAAATGATGCAGCTATGGCGTTCCATAGTCTGACTTACTAGTTTTTTTATCAATGTGCAAGAAAAATGCCATTACGAAATTTGCGTTGTGGAAAATAGTTTAAAATTTGCTGCTAACTTGTTTACTATATTTATGCTATATTCACTACAAACAAACAAATAATATAGTATAACAAACAGAAGGAAATTTCTACCTTATCAGTACGGAATGCCGTTAGGGCCATCGCCTATGAATGTGTTGAATTTAAACGCGATAGTCGATAGTACGATTGTGAAAACGCGAAATCACGAAACTACGATGAAAACGCGAAAGTACGATGATGAAAACGCGATAGTACGATGGTGAAAACGCGATAGTACGATGATGAAAACGCGATAGTACGATGATGAAAACGCGATAGTACGATGATGAAAACGCGATAGTACGATGATGAAAACGCGATAGTACGATGATGAAAACGCGATAGTACGATGATGAAAACGCGATAGTACGATGATGAAAACGCGAAAGTACGATGGTGTAAACGCGAAAGTACAATGATGAAAACGCGATAGTACGATGATGAAAACGCGATAGTACGATGATGAAAACACGAGAGTACGATGTTGAAAACGCGATAGTACGATGATGAAAACACGACAGTACGATGATGAAAACGCGATAGTACGATGATGAAAACGCGATAGTTCGATGATGAAAACGTGATAGTACGATGATGAAAACGCGTTAGTACGATGATGAAAAAACGCCAGTACGATGTTGAAAACGCGATAGTACGATGATGAAAACACGACAGTACGATGATGAAAAAGCGATAGTACGATGGTGAAAATACGATAGTACGATGATGAAAACGCGAAATCATGATATTGCAATGGTGAAAACGCGAAAGTACGATGATTAAAAAACACGATAGTTTATCGTATTATCATCATCGTACTGTCGTATTATCGCGTTTTCGTTATCGTTCTGTCGTGTTTTCATCATCGTACTGTCGCGTTTTCACCATCGTAGTTTCGTGATTTTGCGTTTTCATCATCGTACTGTCGAGTATCGAGTTTCAGATCAAACAATTCATAGGCGATGGCCCTAACGGCATTCAGTATATCAGCACTGTTGTACTTTGAAGTATTAAACATTTAAATAATGTTTTATTAGATATAGGATAATATGCTGCTGATATTAAAACTATTTCCGCATTCCAATTAAAACACTTGTAGTATATTTTGGTCAAATTTCCTACATCATCATCTTACTAACCTTTTATTGTAAAAAGATTTAAAATTAATATTAAGATATACAATTGATCTTTCCTTTAAGTTTAGTTGATCAACTTAATATTTTTTTACAAAATACCTTCTGTACGCAAATTTCTCATCCTTAAATTTAATTGTAAAATATAATAATCAAGTTTCTAATACAAAAATAAATCACATTTTTCTCTTTTTTGACATTAGAATTTGAAAATACTCTCTTACATTTTGTGTACTGGCAGATTTTGAATAAAATAGCCCTGTAAGACACCAGGGAAAATACGGAAGATATGTTTCACTGCAGTCAATAATTCATTTTCACAGGGAAAATGAAAATACGAATTTTATTTCATTAATAGTTCTCAATATTTCATTTATAAGTATATAAATGATAATTGGTTATTATTTAAACATGTGTAGGTATCATTTAAAACACTTAAATCTCTGTGAAGTTGACTTGTTGAATACGATCTGGCTTAAGTTAATACGGTATAAAAAGTTCAATGTCTTGGTTGCACAATCAATGTAATTTCCGTTAAAGTTCAATGCGTTTGTTGTTAAAATTTAAACTCTGATTGTCTGTCGCTATCCTTAGATAGTTTTATAGATACACACGTGTGTATTTACCTCAAATTATCGGTTATTTTAAAAGCTAAAAATAAGAAAAAACCTATATAGCATGAACCGTCTCTTTGAAATTCTGTACGTTCAAATACATTTTATTCAATAAATATTCAAGTGTGCACATGAAGATCGATTGATCGAAGTTTGATTAATACAAATGTTCTCAAATCTATACATGTACATTAAAAATAAAAACGAATAAAAGACATGACACGAAGGACTCTTCAAATAATTAACTCGTTAAAACTGTTTAACATTGTTTGCATTTACTTGCTTGTTGGAAATCGTTAATAAAATATTACTAGGTATGTAAAAATTATATTACGTAAATATATATAACGTATATAAAGATTAATATTTGATAAAAGAATAGATTCTTTAATATGAAGATTATCGGAAAAATAAAATATACATTGTATATTTTTATGTGTTTGGTCTCTATTCTTTATTTGACTTCGTTTCGTGGGATAAAATTGAAAAAGAAATTTTGTTTTTAAACTCATAAACTTTACTTTGCATGATTGTTAAGTTATTGGTTTTTGTATCATGTTTGGCTATGGAAAATGACAAAGTTTATAATTGAATAATTTTAGCAAGATTTTATAAAATGTCGGGGACTAAAAACGACACAGTGACCGGAGATGATAAAATTGAGACTCAAAGTGATTCGCCAGATGCAACGGAACACTTAAGAGTTAAGCTGGCAAACATCAATAACGAACTTCAAGATACAATGAAAATATGTGAGAACTACAAAGAAGATAAGAAGGTACATATCAAGATAATTTCTAAAGTCATTGCATTTCCTTCGATGAAGGTATGACCCCCTAATCGTCACTATAAGTAACTGTAAAATTGACAACAAAGGTCAGTTATATGCCTCAAAGGACATCTAGGGTTAAGGTTAAACAAAATTTACTGTACGATTTACGAGATATAGACATTGTTTACTGAACTAGCTTGGCTATTAGAAGGTTCCTATTTCAGAAATAAGGAAACTCTAAATAATTTATAAAGTCATCATCATAAAAAATGTTTTCCCTCTGATAATTGTTGAAAAAAAAAACATTTACCTTATAACTCACATAAGAAAATGATTGTTTCTTTTTATAATATATACCCTATCCCACCAATGTTAAACACTTGTTTTACCATTTTCCTACTTAGAGAGCCTTTTTCAAAATATCCTTGATATTTACCAAAAAGGGGACTGTTTTCAAAGTTTGCCTAAATTTGCATTTGTATGTTGGCTGGACTTGTCAAATATTATTCATTGTATAAATTCACAGTGTACTGTTGATTTCATTAGACTTTGAAATTGTCAGGTACCATATTTTTTGTTATTTAATTTAGCAGTTAAGCCAATTAATACCTATAATAATTGCATTCTATATAATTAGAACTAAACATTTTCCAAGAGGGGTCTGAGAGATACATAAATAATGCTAAAAGAAGAAAGGAAAAAATTAAGCTTGACCCTTCTGGAGTTTTAATCCACGCCTTCAGATTAAATACAGCTTTTCAGTTATTCTAGCCTATTTGAATACTTTTTAAAGAGAAGGAAATGCATGGGGGTCATACCTTAATATCAGTCTGACCATAAAAGAGTTATATGATAGTAAGGCGAGTTTTAAACGTTTTAATTATGTTATCTACGTGTTAAGACATGTTTATATAAAAATTGAAAATGATGAGCTTCATTGTATCTGACAAAAACATACATTATGTATTATGTCTTGAATTTAGTTCGCTGGTATGACAAATGCTTTTCAAATATCAAAATATGTTTTACAGACAGTAGGTTTATAAATGTTTTTACCACGGAAACTTCATTTAATCAGCTGTATGTCAGCAAAAATGCAAAACAACATTTTATAGTAACGTTTAAATTTGACAGATTAAGAGATAGTTATAATACGGTAATTACATAGATCTACATCTGAATAGATTGCAGAAAAAGCAAAATATGAATTAGAAGAATCAAGAAAGAAGGTAACAGACCTGGAAAGACGCTTAGCTGACTCAGAATCTACTTGTAAGCGGTATCGCAATGAAAGGAATAATTTAAGACGGGACGTTGCAAGACTAATTGATGACAGAAAACAAATGATATCATACGAACAAGATGTTCAAAAACTTCAAAGGGACATTGAAATGCTAAAGAATAAATACGACTGTGACATCCGGGAATGGAAAAATAAGTTGTCAGATACTGAAAAAAGATATGATGAGATTATTAAGGAACAAAAGCTTAAAGTTCAGACCGCAGAACAAGAAGTACAAAAAATAGCAAAAGAACTAGATTTAAACAGTTGTGACCAAAGAAAAGATAATCAAACAGAGACTGTGTCAGGAGAATTATGCACAGAAAATAAAGATCAAAGCAACGTACCTGAGCTTACAGGAGATCTTATACCGTCGGGTAGCATCAATGTTAAAAGCGAAATGAGTAAATTAGATAACACGGCAATAAATGAAAGTAACAGTACATTTGATGAACTAACGGGCAAAATTGATGCAGACGGACTAGAGGGTCATCATTCATTTAACGATGATAAAGGAAATAGTGCACATTATACAGATGATCAGGGAAATTATGATGATTATGATGGGGAGGATACAAGGAATTTTAAAATAAAACGCCATAAAACTATTAAAGAATACCACACTGTACAATCAGGAGAACCATTTGATGAACATGACGATAAAGCAAAACACACGAACGATGATCGTGCTGGTGAATCTGACGCAGACCTTGAAGATGCGAAAGTAATGTGAGTTCTTTTTTTCGAATTACACGAAAAACAAGAAAGGTTTATGTTTGAGTTATGTAATATGTTAAAAGATTTCCCTTATGATTTTGAATGAATATTATTAAGGGACATATAAACAACAGCAGCTTGTATGTTAATAGATGTAAAAAGCTCTGTATTTAAATAACAACTGTATGTATCCCTCTTTTAGAAGCAGACCTACAGGAAAAACTGAAGATGACGTTGAGTCTGCAAGAAATGTTTGCGAAACAGAATTACCGTTCAATCTGGCAGATAGATACCAGCAACTGTACAACAATCAATGGCACAATATTTATGAGAGGATTAAACACGATTTTGACAGCGATATTGAAACAGTAGCAGCGTTGTTGGAGATACTTCTGGTAAACATGTGTTGACAATATATAATTTGTAAATAGTTGTGATATTTAAATAACGTTAGTAATAGTTATGTATTGGTACAGTTTTTTCATTAAAACGAAAAGGGTATGTTATTAAAAAGAAATGTTAAACATTTACATAATAGATATTACAATGTATGTGACGACAAAGCTTCGCCATTGTATTGGAATCTTCGGGTATATTACCATTGTCATCTGATCGATTCACATATAAACTTACATACTGCTTTTTTCTGCTTTATCAATTGCCAGGATATAATGGACTTCTGCAAGAGGAACGCAAATGACCAAATAAAAGATATTTTCAAGATCTTGACATTTTCTTCTGAACATGTAAGTTTACATTGTTTTTTAAAAATCTTCTTTATAAAATTATAGGTAACCGTGTTTTTATTCAATGAAGCATACATATATGCAAAGTAATATGTTCAAGAAAATATTTTATAAACAAAATTTTAAAGGGTTAGAGATGGCAAAAATGTTTAAAAGTATGCCTCAAGAAACATGAGTATGCTTGTGATTATGGTTATATACTAAAGAAAAAAAAGAAACTTCCGTATAGCTCGTACAAAATGTTACCTTTATGATGTAAACACATATGCACATGTAGTAATTTTGAAAACCGAAGAAAAGGGCACATCCGGTCCACGTGGTAGATAGGTGTATATACCATTTTATTGATATAGTCGTAAACCTATTGTAAGATAATCAAATATATTAAGAAATCAGAAATTCCAATGCCAAGAATTTCGGACAATTTACGCTAAAGGGCCACAGACATGCTGGAGACTTGTTGACGATTTACAAAAAAGTAGCGGGCTCTTGAACACATAGCATTGACAAAACATTCTTTTTACTGATAAGTCAAGGTTTGCATTGTGTTAAGATGAAGATGAAGAATGGAAAATCATCAAACAGACTGACATTGATAAGCATGTTCTCTCAATGCGACAGTAAGCATTCCACAAGGCGGTCATGCTACCGATTATTGTCAGATTATCATGTTTGGAATCATTCTTATTCTTATTCAAATCAAACAATCAAACTGATATTTTCTGTCCAATATGTCGAACTGGACAGATTCAGTTGACGTTCGTTTACAGAAAAAAACCCTGAAATTTCAGACAAATGTATTAAATCGTGAAAAATATCTTACATCAGATTTAGCGAAAGGTATAATTTTTGGTTAAGAATATATATCATGTGTCCTGGTCGATAGACAATTAATTAACTAATTTTCATTGCATACACTTATTGCTAGAAAGACGGAGATATCTCAGGAAATGTTACCAAACATTTGAAATACTGCATGAGAGAAGTATCACCAGAAGCAGATACACATCTATTTGAGGTAAATATGATTTTAAACATTTTCATAAATTTGTAACAGATGAAAGGAATAAACATTTACATTCCATTTTTTAAAATATTCGATTGTAGAAAGTGATGTGTAAAAGGAGGTAATACACACAGATAACTTTACGTTATTATTTCATTTCAGCTGTATCCGGCAAGTTTCCGGAAGAAACCAAGACACCCAGCTGATTATGATGTCAAAATTGAACCATTTATAAAAGAATGCTTTGAGTTTTGCTGGCTTCTTGCTGTAAGTGTTCAAAAATACAATGCTATTACAAAGAAATAATCTTCACTGATCAAATATTTATCAGAGAAATGTTTTTAATGATGAGGTCATGAGAAACCCACAATTAACAAATTATTAAATGATTGATGTAAACTATGTCAAATCAATCACTATAATTAATCAAAAATAATCTATCTTTAAGTCTAATACTATGTTTAATATTCACACGCTATCATATTTCTTATATAATCCACAATATAATTTTAAGTATATTGTATTTGATTAAAATAGTAATAAAACCATTAAGTTGCTCGCCTTTTAACGTGTTTAACATGGTTAAAATATTCAAAAAGTAAATTATTTAAAACATTTTTAGATCCAAGATGATCCGTTAGAATTCAGGCCTTTAACACAGGATGGAGATGAATTCGATTTAGACATTTACAACCCTTATAACAATTCTGGACCATATATAAAGTATGTGGTATGGCCTGCTTTGCAATATACCTCAAATGGCTCAATTTTTGCAAAGGGCGTTGCTGAAGCGGATGATAAATGTGTGAGCAGACAACCGGAAAGTCTGAGATTCAACACGGAGATTGACATAGAGCAACATGTTAATACCGACATTGAACCGACCGATCGGGATAGTTCTTATCAAATGTCTGGAAAAAATACATCTGGCTCACATGGAAGAGATAAAGTAGAACGATTCGATCAATACACAAATAACAACATCCCGTTGAGAGATCAACCCAACGAAAGGTCTTTGCTCAACCCGAACGATTCATATCTGAGAGAAAGAAATGATTTCCTTTTAGACAAAAAAGAGCATCCGAGAAGAACAGATAACTGGAGATTGTCCGATACATCTGTATTATATGAAAGAGATGACGACGTCTTACAAAAGGAACTTAACCTCGAAAAGAGAAGTTTAAGTACAGAAACCAAAATAGCAGACAGCTCAAATAGAGTTAGAGTTAGCGTAAAAGATACAATAACATACCAGGCTGGTAAATCTGATATAGAATATGACAGGAAATATGATTTAGATGATGAAAACAGGGATACTCTGTCACATAAAGAGATCATCAGGAGTAAAAATCCTTATATTCAAGAACAATTAGACATCAGCGACAGACACTATTATATCTCGAAGGACAGAATGAAGACACAACCTTTGCATGCGTTTAACATCACTGAAGAGACGAAGACTGCATATCCAATGGCAGTTATTAAAACAAAAGCAACAACAAGAAGAGGAACAACAAATGTTTGGACGCCATCATGTGGATATGAGAGAGATCCTACTCCAGAAGAGATGAGACTTTATTATCGCTATATTGACCACCATGATCATACTGGTGCTAGAGATGTCCTCGGTAACGCAGCATATTTAAGATGTTTACGAAAGGATCATACACAAAACTTTTACGGATGGTAATATAATGTATCTATTAAGATATAGAGGCTAATGTGTCCATTAACTTTACGTCTTATTAATAACAAAGATATTAAAGGGTTTGGGGCAAATTAAGCCTTTACTATCTTACTTTTGAAGAAATGGCAAATTTCTGTTTTATAATATTATAATATGATTGATTTAGAGCATTTCATTTGAAAAAGAAGTGTTGAAAGTCAAATTATTTGTCATAAATGTAGCAGCCATCAACAAAATGCACCCACTCTTCAAACAAAGTATGTAATATCTATAACTTTACTAAATGTCAAAAAGGCAAACGATGGATATAACCAGTAAAAACCGTTTTGGAAACTGTAACAGAACAACAATAAAAAGATTTGAGAAATGGAATTAAAGCAATTAATTACTTTTTCAGGTCCTTAAGAGCTTATTTATCGATATGAAGCATACAACACAACACTGTAATCAAATATTAATTGTTGATTGAAAAAAATTGACAAGCCAATATTTTGACCTTAAATTAATGTATTTATATGTGAAAAAAAAAGCTAATTAATTGCATGTTTTGAAGGATTTTCAATATTTTCGTTATCTGTTTTGTCTTTTTTGTTTTACTCACAATTTTTTGAAATAAATATCTCAAAAATCAAATAAAAAATCTCGCTACACTCTAGTATTTGCTATGCTATAAGCAACATAATACTGGTATCATATAGTGTTAACGCAGATGCAATATTATTGTGTTATAACACATTCTCTGTGAAAAGACTAAACAAACAACAAACCCATTTGCATTATAATACGGGCTTTTCTACAAGGATGTGCACAGAAGAAACAACAACAACTTACATTGTTATATACTTATATTATAGGTTGATAGTAACGTATAAAATCATTTTATTTGATTTATTTGCATCTTTTTGTCATGTCTTGTTTTCAAAACTATAGTCAGAATTAAACTTAATTGAAAATAGAAGTTTATAATTAATAATTCGTTTTTGTGGAGTTTCGTTACACTGAAAATCTTATAAAACTGAAATACAATTTTAATTGTTACGTCTGGCATAAGCATGACTTTAATGAAACACTTGAAATATTTTACCCTACGCAAACAATGTAAAGGAAAACGAAGATAAATGAAGTTTTTGTCATCATCTCATCAATCAATAACGCATGGGACTATTCAATACCAATTATATTTATTGGTTCAGACATTAGTTATTATTGTAATTTTATGTCGTTCTTAGTCCATTTTGAAACACACACGATAATTTACATTTACTACCTAGGTAAATCAATGTGGTTTTTACTAAATTAAAAATATTGTTTACAGTATTTGTCTCCCGAAGATATCATATTCATTGAAACACGATAGGTTTAACATATTGTATTCAGGGGAGACGATCAACGTTGAGAAAAGATAAATAGTTTCCAAAATTTATTTGTAATTTATCATTAGATTATATTTCCGAGATCAATGGTCATGTTGAAATGTTCCCTCGCCCAAGGATCCCCTAGATAAGAAATCCGATGCCCCCTATTTAAGCCCCATTTACACTGTCCTGGTTTGGCGTCCCGGTTTGCCACGGTTTAGTCCACCGGTATCACCGTGCTTAACCGGCGTAGGACCGTAGCGATTCCGTGAAGTACCGGGACAAACCTTGGTTAACCGGGACAAACCGGGAGATCGCCACGGTTGTATTAAAATGTTGGAAACAACCGGGGCTCACCGGCACTCACCGGGGAGGAAACACAGAACAGTGTTGTATCGGTTTGGTACCAGGAACCACCGTATCTATACCGCATCCGTACCATGACAAACCGTAGTAAACCGGGATGCGTGTTAATCAATGTCAAAACACGGCAGAGCCCCGGTGATGACACGATGTTGCCAAGATAAAACAGGTAGAGCTACGGTAGAGCCAGGGTACATTGCGGTTATTGGTAATGTCCCGGATATTGCCGGCAATTCACGGTTATACAACGGTGATAGACGGTGGTGTCACGGCCTCGTGCCGATAACAGGCAATTTAAAGAACAGGTATATATACACTTGAAGCGCTTCTTTGGATCATTCTGTTAAACGAAGACGAAGAAGGGTCATTCTCTTCAATTTATTCTGAGGCGAGCTTTCCTTACTGTCCTTCCCTGAGTCGTTTCCAAAGGTATCTCAACTTCTGTAGGCGTTGTATTGTAAGCTCAGTTTCCCAACTTTTCCCCCTATCCTTTGGGTGGCATATCTGCTGTATTTTTATCAAATGATTGATGTCAACGTGGCCAAGCAGTTTTATTCTCATAAACTTGAATCGGGAAGCATCGGCGAATTACCGGGGCGTCACCGGGACCGTACCGGCATCACCCGTAGCTTAATTGTGGTGAAATCGGCGATGGCCGGGTTGGACTGTGATGAAACCGTGTCTAGTCGGGTCTCCACCGGGATTAACCGAGAATACACCGGGTTAGCATCGGCCCTAACGGTATATGTACGGTGCTATATCGTGTACTCAACCGGGCATACATCTGGGCTCTGTCGGGATATGTAAACGCAATTTGATTTTTCACCACGGAACACCACGGTTCACCGGTTAAAGACACCGTAGCGATACTGTGGCCATTACCGGGACAGTGGAGCTTTAGAAAAATAAAAAAAAATGAAATACTTTTAAAGATTGATAAAACTTAGAAAAGATAAAGAAATCTATACATATAACAACAGACAGGATATGCATTGTCTCGAAAATTTTAAATAAGGTAACTGTGAATGTTATTAATATGAAATTAATATTCTTTTAAATTAAAGCAGCACACCTCTTGATTCATGCTTATTTGCATGAAAATTTTATAAATGTATTTAACCGAAAAATATAGTGAAGCGAACAAATATATTATTTCCATATTGCAAACAATGCTTATATTTCACGTAAAGTACAAAAAGGGTCAAAATAAACAAAATAGCCGTTACTGCTGTAGAAATATAGAGATAAATATTGCAAAAATCAGTCATTAATCGCACATAACTTGATTATTAATTATAACCTGAATCTTAAGTCTTTTTACATTTCTTAGTACCTTTTCTCAAGATTTGTTTTCATGAAATATTTAAGCTTGAAGTCATGCTGACGTAATGGTCATTTCTAAGTTATCAAAGTAATATTTCACGGTGTATAGCTAAAAAAAGACACCCAATAATGTTCGTGCCACCACTATTTTTGACCACGGCCTAACTAAAGCCATGGTTTAAACAATTATTTAATGACCTTTTTGTGTTTATATGACCATTTACCTGTAAACATACCTTATCAAGTTATATGTATGAGCTAGTTTTCATTTTTTTTCATTTTTATTATTATTTCTTTTACTGAAGCCTTACTTTATCGTTTGTACAAAGCATTTTATTCATACAGTACGACTGTTATGTATTTAGTTACATTATTTTAATTTATAAACTTTAATATTTCCATTTTAAGGCCTATCGAATACAACTATGTAAAAATTGGTATAAACCATATTTTAGAAAAAATATTTCTTGTTCATCAAAAGGGCAATAATAACACAATTAATGTTGAAATCTTACAAACTTATTTACAGATTTAAGTGTATAAAGAAATCATTAAATGTTACATGAATAATTCAACCGTTAAGTTACATATAACACACAGATGACCGGATAGACTGACAGACAGAAGTTTGGACAAATAATGCCTTTCAATTCCCATTCGTTATTTTTTCTACACAAACGTTGTCCGTTGGTAAAAGTTTAAGGATATTTACGCGTCGAAACATTGTCCGTTTCTCATTAAAGAGGACGGTTGTTACTGACGACCCAGTTTGATTTTAAATCCAACATTCAATAAAAACATGATTAAGGGACATTATGTTATTATTAGCAATGTTAAACATTGACTTCGGCACGCAAAAAAAACAACAACAAAAGAAATAAACGATAAATAACACGCTTTAAGAAAAGTGTAATGAAAGTGTCCGATGAAACAACAGCAATTGCTTTCCTCTTTATCGTTTCCTGATGCAGAAAATCTCAGTATAATTCAAAATATTTTGATAACTAAGCAAGAGAAGGTCTGTAGCATTTTTCTTTTTATTCAAATACTAACTTCTTTTTATTCGAAATAACATCTGTTATCATCTTTTGTGTTATCTGTCTCTACTATCGAGAATGAACGAAGGATGTCCGTTGCGGGAACGAACTTATTTATTGTTTTAAAAAGGATTGTCTCCCCTAGACTATACTAATTATATCGCTTAGTTTATATGTCGCTTCGTGAAGTTTACATTCAGTAAATAGCTAAAATTTTATAATGTAAATGATCTGATCAAAGTAAAATAGAGACGATTATCTTAATTACAAAATATCCCTATTTTGTGGTATCGATGATTAAAATGTTAATGTCGCAATAACAATTATCTTATTTTCAAGATTTCAGTATTTCAATACATTTAGATATTCTTGATAAACAGGTTTAAATCGGTTCCCTTAAAATATTTATAAAACACGGAGCAATATTTTACATCAATATATTTTCATACTTGTTTCAATCCATTAACCACAGTGAAAACACAAACAACGTATCGTGGAAAAAACACCGACTAACTGTGGAATTCTAATTCATGTACCAACTATAGACATGATAAATTTTTAATTAGTATAAAATCGAAATTCATCATTATTTTCTTTTCACTGACTCTCAATAACAATAATTCGCTTAACGCAAAACACGTCAAAATTCCTCCTTAATCTAAATGATTATTGTAACTCACTTTACGTCAAATGTTGACTTACTGGGATTACTGATGAAAGAAATTTTTTATTTCGACAATCAAACTTTTAAACAAACACGTTTTTCTTTTCAAATGTTGTAGTAACTATTAATAAAACAAAAATGCCGACATGGTATCAAAGTCATCATGCAATATAATAATGTGCATTACTGTTTACTTCCGGTTCACGAGAATGACTATATCCGTTTTCATCCAATGGTTAAATTATATTTTTTTCTAGGTTTGTAAGATAGTAAGATATTGTTTTATTTCTTTATTTATGCGATTGAGTGCGTTTTCGATCGATACTTATCGTGCCTGCTTGATATGAACATTTGCTAGATGTTAGTGCTGATCATAATTTTATAAAGTATTAATAAATGATTCACATGCAGCACACCCGATATCATTAATAGACGTAAAGGTTCAGACATTCAGTTAAGTATTAACCTCAAGGAATGATCATATCAGGGCAGAAGGACCGAGTTACTCGAATTCCGCTTATCTCGAAGTAAAATTCCTAAGAAATTCGAGAAACCGAATAGTCTACTGTAGAATATAACGTAATATGGCACATCTAACATCTTATCTGTCAAAAACTTAATGTTTCTATACTCTTATGAATTTAAGTTGTTTGTGAGATGTTATTTTATATTTTTTTAAACCATATATTCAATATGAATATGTATATTTGACGCTTTCAAGTCAATAAAATGTTTTCATAAGTTAATTTCTTGATAGTTCAAATATTAGACAGTTAATAATCAGTTAATAGGCATGAATACGGGCGCGTAGAGCTCGCCTAAGTTTATGGGTTAAAGTGATACACGCAGGGTTGAACTAGAGTAAATTCGTGATTCGTCTAATGGTTTTAAGTTTTTGCATTGTTTAGCCGAACAACTGTGATCATAGTTTGCGTCCGAACTATGCCTCTAATTGTTTTCATTTTCACTCAATCGTGAACCACAGTGTGTATATAGAGTTGCAAAACGGTAAATATGATATCTTGATAAACAAACATAAATACAGGACAGTTTTGTGTAGTTTAAATAAACAAAACAACGCGAGGCATAACATAGTTTTGTAAGTAAAACTTTTTTCAATATGTTTGCAAATCAAAAACAACCGTGCTTTAATCATTATATTTATTTGACAAGTTACAAAGTTGCAATAATACATATGATTTATTTATTTCAAAATAGAAAGAAGGAAGAAGCAGTAACTGAAGCTTTTCGCTTCAATTTATCAGTAATACTTATTACAAAGGTGCACGAAATAATAGAAGAAAGACATAAATAGACGACATTACCTGACACAGACGATATGCTGTTTATTACACAAATGCTTTAGAAAAAAAAAACACATGCCGGGAAACCTATAATGAAATTAAATGTGTCAATATAAGGTCAATTTTAATCATTTAATTGTTGACTTTCATCAATATAAATATACAATCTTCACATACTCACAGTACTTTGTTTCATAGAGGCTATAGAAAATAATTAAAAATTCCTCTTTTTCAGGTAAATATAATCGATGATGAGTGATTGAAGCTGAAAATGGAATTGAACGGGATTTAACCATGTTTTTGAGTTATCATTTTAATTGTTGTCTTATTGATATTAAAGAAGAAAGTGAATTAAGTAGATGTTTCAAACATATAGATGTACTTTCAAACAAAGTGCGTGAACAATGTCAAAATGAAAAGTATCGTGTAAGCATCTTTCAACAGTCTCTTTACATCATGGTCAATTTTGTGAAATTGAAGTTTTGAAAATCATAAATAGTATACGTGCGTTCTCAGTAATAAATAATTTTCTTAGATTACATAAGATCTATATAAATGTAAATTACGTTAAAAATGGATAAAGCAAGAAGCACAGGGTTAAACCGATCTGACTTAATCACGATTTGACTTTACCACGATTCGACTTTATGACGATTTAACTTTATCACGAACTGATATTATGACTATTTGACTTTTTATGACGATTCGACTTTATGACGATCTGACTTAATCACAATTTGACTTTATGACGATTCGACTTTATGACAATTTAACTTATTTCCTTAATATGCATTTTTTTTCCTCAATTAAATTCATTTTGTATTAAGTTCGAAAATCTTTAAGTACCCAGGTTTGTAAAATTGCAAGATATGTTTACATATTTTAATAAATTTATTATAATTTCCTTTTAAAGAAACATTAATAACTTTAACTTCTTTGTGTGTTGTTATCAAGCTATTCTAGTAAAATATAAAACATAAAAAAGCCACATAAAATGTATCAATAAAATTTATTTTGGTCTCTATAACAGGTTGAACATATTAAACAACAATTAAGTAAACTAGAACACGAAAATACCCTGCTTAAAAAGCGTTTGGAACAAAGCAATATAGAAAACAATCGTTTGCGAAAAGAAAGGGACAAATTTAAAAATGTATCACAAGAGTATTGCTATAATCGGAAACATCCTATCAGTAACAACGAATTAAGCAAGTCCGACGAAATGCTGAGTGAACTGAGACTTCAAATAAGAGCCGACGCTAAACGATTGAAAGATTTTGAAAAAGAAAGTAATGAAATAATTTTTTCACTAGAAAAGAAATTGAAACATACTGAGAAAAATTTATTTCAACGTGGGCGGACAATACAAGAGTTAACCGAAAAGTTAAACGGGACAAAATCGACTAGAAATATATATACCGTCCAAAGGCATAAAGTAAACAAAGAAATGTGTAGATTAAATGAGGTGTTACAGCACACACTTTCAAAACTTCATGATACAGAGATTGAACTAGAAGAAACAAAAACCAGGTAAACACAACAACCATATTGTATATGTAATTTACTTTTAATATTATGTCGACTTTATTTATATTAAAATATATGGTTTACTCTATGTTAATATTAAGTATATAACCATTTCATTTATTTATTCATGGGGTAAAGGCTAAGTAAAGCAATGGGGGTACGGCTGACAGACAACAATCCAAATATTGCCGATTTGAGTGATAGAAATCGGCCAACAAAACTCGCCGAAAGATTTACAGAGCTTTATGATAATCAATGGACAGATGCGTTTGAATGCATATATAAATATTGTCATTCAGAGACAAAAACAATAGACATCCTTTTATATATACTTCAGGTATGCTATATTGTTATTTTATGATATTTAAGATATAAACGTTAAAAATATTTACCGAAACATAGAACAATGATTGATGTGTGTTTTTTTTAATTATAAACAAAAGTTCTATGGATATATTAAATTCAGTATGAAGAACGTTAATTAATTACCTACACATGCTTTTATAATATATTGACTTATTGCTCTGTTAGGGGTTTTACCAACACAAGTTTATTGTTATTAATGAACAAAAGTATATTACTTCTAATGTACACGAGATGTAATAAGGATAACGTGTTTGTTATCAATGAAAATAGAAAAGTGATTGGAGTGATTTGTAGAGTGCCGATAATTTTTATTTTATATTCGATTGCCGAAAAAGAAAATAATGTGGTAAAGATTGTAATAGACCGTTTCAATTTAAACGTAGGATAGCATGACATTCTGCCAATTCAAAGAACAGGAACAGATGCAGCAATTACAATGTGCGTTCGAACTGTCATACAAACAGGTAAATTAGCAGTATTACAGATAGCTCAAAATATTTATACACCAACGTATAATTTATTGTTGTGGAATAGGGCCTACAGGTACATACGTTTAAACGGATTAGTTTTCGAATTTTCAGTCGTAACGTTTAAGATAATTTTACCGTTTAATCGAAATGACCACATTGTCTTACAAATATCTAATATTGCTGTAATACGATTGTAATGGTTTTATTCAAGTAAATACGGAAAATAGGTATTTACAACCTCACACAGGCATTACGCGTGCAATATTGCTCGTGTTAACTGTTACTAGGTTTGTTAATATATGCTCAAACAGTTACTGGGGTTATAAATATGCGCCCAAACTGTTACTGGATATATAATATGTGCTCAAAACTGTTACTAGGTTTATAAAAATATGCTCAAACAGTTTACTGGGGTTATACTATGTGTTCGAACTGTTACTGGGTGTATAATATGTGCTCAAACTGTTACTGGATTATAATATATTGTGCTCAAACTGTTACTAGGTTTATAATATATGCTCAAACAGTTACTAGGGCTATACTATGTGCTCAAACTGTTATAGGTTTATAATATATGCTCACACAGTTACCTGGTGTTATAATATGTGTTCGAACTGTTACTGGGTTTATAATATGTGCTCAAACTGTTACTAGGTTTATAATATATGCTCAAAGCAGTTACTGGGTTATACTTTGTGTTCGAACTGTTACTGGGTTTATAATATGTGCTCAAACTGTTACTGGGTTTATAATATGTGCTCAAACTGTTACTAGGTTTATAATATATGCTCAAACAGTTACTGGGTCATAATATGTGCTCAAACTGTTAACTAGGTTTGTAATATATGCTCAAACAGTTACTGGGGTTATAATATGCGCCCAAACTGTTACTGGATATATAATATGTGCTCAAACTGTTACTAGGTTTATAATATATGCTCAAACAGTTTCTGGGGTTATAATATGTGTGCAAACTGTTATAATGTGTGCTCGATTATTTGGTTAATAATATTTGTTTGAACTGTTACTGGGTTTATAACATGACCTTGAACTTTTACTGGGTTTATGGCATGTGTTGGAACTGTTACTTGGTTTATAATATGTGCACGAAGTGTTACTGGTGTTATAATATGTGTTGGAACTGTTACGGGGTTTATAATATGTGCTTGAACTATTACTGGGTTTATAACAAGACCTTGAAATGTTACTGGGTTTATAATATATGCACGAAGTGTTACTGGTTTTATAATATGTGTTGGAACAGTTCCTGAGTTTATAATTTGAGCTCAAACTGTTAGTGGACTTATAATATGTGTACGAACAGTTATTGGGTTTGTAATATGTGCTTGAACTGTTAACGGCTTTATAATATATGCTCAAACTACAACTCGAACTGTAATTCTGTTCCTAATATGTGCTCAAAATGTTACTGGGTTTATAATTTGTTCTCGAACTGTAACTGGGTTATGATATGTGTTGAAACTGTTACTGGACTTATAATAATGCTCGGACTGTTATTTGGTTTTTAATATTTGCTTGAACTGTTACTGGGTTTATAATATGTGCTCAAACCGTTACTCGGCTTATAATATGTTCAAACAGTAACTGGGTTTATAATAAGTGCTCCAATTGTTACTGGGTTTATAATATGTGCTCGAACTGTTACTGGGTTTATAATATGTGCTTGAACTGTTACTGGGTTTATAATATGTGCTCGAACTGTTACGGGATTTATAGTATGTGTTCTAATTGTTACTGGGTTTATAATATGTGTTCGAACTGTTACTGGGTTTATAATATGTGCTCGAACTGTAACTGGGTTTATAATATGTGTTTGAACTTTTACTGGGTTGATACTATGTGCTCGAACCGTTACTGGATTTATAATATGTGCTCGAACTGTTACTGGCTTTATAGTATGTGCTCGAACTGTAACTTGGTTTATGTATGTGCTCGAACTGTTACTTGGTTTATGTATGTGCTCGAACTGTTACTTGGTTTATAGTATGTGCTCGAACTGTTACTGGGTTTATAGTATGTGCTCGAACTGTTACTGGGTTTAATATTTGTGTTCAAACTGGTGCTGGGTTTATAGTATGTGTTGGAACTGTTACTTGGTTTATAGTATGTGTTCAAACTGTTACTGGGTTTAAATTATGTGTTCAAACTGTTAGTGGATTTATAATATTTGCTTGAACTGTAACTGGGTTTATTATATGTGCTCGAACTGTTACTGGGTTTATAGTATGTGCTCGAACTGTTACTGGGTTTATAGTATGTGTTTCAATTGTTACTGGATTTATAATAATTGCTTGAACTGTTACTTGGTTTATAATATATACTCGAACTGTTACTGGGTTTATAATATGTGCTCGAACTGTTACTAGGTTTATAATATGTGTTGAAACTGTGAATTTATAATATGTGCTCAAACTGTTACTGGGTTCATAATATTTGTTCAAACTGTGGATTTATAATATGTGCTCGAACTGTTACTCGGCTCATAATATGTGCTCAAACTGATACTGGGTTCATAATATGTGCTTAAACAGTGGATTTATAATATGTGCTCAAACTGTTACTGGGTTCATAATATGTGTTCAAACTGTGGATTTATAATATTTGCTTGAACTGTTACTGGGTTCATAATTTGTGCTCAAACTGTAACCATCATTTTAATTGATATACGAGTATGTTACAGAAATTAAACAGCCAACACAGTTTACAATCTCTATGTTGTCTTTATATATAATATAAATATATTTAATAAGTTAATTGATTTATATGATACAAGTGTAATTTGTCACTGATAATACTCTTCAGATTGTTTTATCTCATTCAATTTAAAATATTTTTGTTCAATTTTGACCAGGTACACAGAAAGTGTTCAAATGATTCACCAAAATCTTTAAAAGACTGTAGAAAAGCATTATCATCGTACGCCATGAGGAATTTGTATGAGGTAATCATTGATAATATCACTAAGAAATCACTGTAAACTGAATATTGTTAATTATACAGAAATAATATGATATGAATATACATATTTTTTTATAAATTTTAAACTTTGCTTCCTGAGTGCTACGTTTTTGTTAAGTTCGCGCTAAAATGTATTAAAATCTTATTAATGATCAAATAATGGTGTTTTTATTGAACCGTTGTATCACTTTGTAAATGTTATGACATATTTCTTTTTTGTAGATGTATATCTCGCATATTAAAGATTCTGAAGATCGAGTCCTAAATAAAGCGTTGGAAATTGGTTTGTTTACTAAAGAATGTATTGAGTTATGCTGGCTAATGGCGGTTTGTTATTATTACATTACTATAAAACTTTATGTAACACGTTAGTGATAAAACAGATAATATTTATATTTTGACAACAGAAATTTACTTTTATTGATTTATTTAACGTATTCATCCCTACAAATATGATATGAAAATGGTCAAATTAGCTGAAAATATACGAAAATATTTTTTACATAGATACAAGACCCGCCAATTGTATTTGCTGATGAGTTAAGAAGAGGATGTAACTTTGATACAAACTTATTGAAGCCTTATACCACCAGTGGTACATTTGTTGATTACATTGTGTGGCCGGCCCTACTCTTGTATAAAAATGGACCAGTTTTGGTGAAAGGTGTAGCACAGGGCTACGGAAGAAAATCCGACAATCAGCAAATGCAGTTTGATAAATCTAAAGATGATAATGTCTCACGGTTGAGCAAAAGTGAAAGGAATAATGATTCAAGGAAAATGAACATTGACAGAAACTCACAAAAAGATGAATCTGGAGGGTTCTATTTTGCAAACATACCAGGTCAAAGTCATTTTAATACAGCCAAAAGATTTAGTGTCTTTAGAAAAGCAAGTCACATTCCAATTGGATTTGATTTGGTAAACACTGAGTTTAGCAAAACAAATAACGATACATAGAACAAAAGACACGTGAAACGTTAGAAGTTCTGTCTCTAAAAATAAGTAAAAATGTAGAAAAAACAACAAACAAACATTGTTGGGAACAAGAGAAACGGTATGTTATAGACAAAATAAGAATACAGTTAGAGGGACATGCAAGTGAAAATTGTCTAAAAATATGGCGAGCGTTAGTAAATTGGATGACAATTTACAATACATTTTACATTGTAATCCTCTTAAAAACTAATCAATAATGTTTCACACATTTAAACATATGTAATAACCTTGCATACTCTATTTTGCATCATCTGAATTATGTATATGTATTCATATAATCGTTTACATTTGTATGATATATTTGTTTTGTTTTCCTGTATTTTTCCCCAGATTTAAGGGTAATATTTATATTTAAAACAGTCAAAAATAGACCACCCTACTAATCAATCATGTATTTATTTTAACAAATCAGTGCATTTTTAAAATTCTTGATAGATGGTTAGCCATTTCTGTCAAATTATGTTATTCTTTCCTGTATAAATAAAAGGAACACGACCACGCCACTAGTGTATCTTTAATAGATAACTGTTAATCCAGTGATAAAATGATGTAAACTTTATAAAAAAAGCCGTATAGTTGTAACAGTTGTAGTTGACAACCGAAGTTCTTCATGGTAAAACTAATCAATGATATCCACATATAAACCATATATGTTATATTTTTGATTCTTAAAGATTGTTCAACATGGCATTATTCCTGTGTTGGTGATACTATTAGTTATTTATATTTGACTTTATCCTAATTGGGTGGTTCCAGTATTCCTTACATGAGTAATGTTTAATCACCCTAGGATATGTTGCCGGTTTTTTTAGTTTGCCTTTTGACAGCTATCTGTGATATGCAGGCTTCATTACATCTGATCTTTCTCTAGTTCCGCCCATTGTTTTTTCGTTCAGGCCACACACATTCTTTTAAAGTACCTAAGGGACCTTGCACCGCTTTTCAAGGAATGACACTCGCGTGTTGCATTGAAGGTTCTTAGTTAACCACCGTATAAACACATCTGTTATTGTTGGTTTTTGTTTGAAGCAGCACCACAAACTTTACGGCAATTTGGCAAGATTGTATTTGATTAAAATACCTTTATTTGTTGCAATACATCATAAACAAGAACAAAACTCGGCAATAACACTGGCGACAGGATAAAATTCATTATGATAAATGATTAATGGACTTGCTTTTGTTTGCGGGTTTGCTTACTACTAGTAGCTTTCTAAGTCCATATCATCAATTCTTGTCAAATAAAATGTTGACTACAGAAATTTTAAAAAAGATGAGCGTAAAAATATTTGTATGAATATTAATATATAACCCGACTGTTACACTAGACCAAATAATAAAACAACAAGTTGTATAACCGGGATATATAACAGGTTTTGCCTGGTGAATTAATTTGCATGATACTTTAAATATGAAAATAAAGTAAATTTTCTTGCGTTTTTTTTTTCTTAATGGCATAACTCTCGATTCAAAGATCAAACCCTCACAAAAGAAGATAAAATTTTATCGCAATTAAGACAATCACTATAACTTTGAATTACTTTAGTTGAGAAACGTTAGGGTAACCTTTGAACGTCTTTCTTTATCCCGATGTACATCTGCATATAAATTAAAACAGTTGCAACTACTTTATTTGCATCGTATGAGACATAAAAAGAGAATATTTTTGTGTACTAAGTTATATACATGTATAATACGAGAAAGTGAGAAAACTTCGTGCTCGTGACAATATTGTAATGTTGTCTTTACTTAGTGTGATCCAGAGCATATTCACCAAAGCAAACAAATATTCTCTTTCATGAAGTCGATCTGAGCTAGGAAGCTACAATGGTATCAAATCTTTTACTCTATGCTTACACTGCATTTCTCTGAGTCAAAGAAGTCAAATATCTAACAATATATTGACCTTAACATTTGGAGAGAGTTATTAATACCGGTACATGTAGTTTCGAAATCTTAAGGCTTACAAATTTATAATTACTTAGAATTATTAGGAAATAAATTAATCAAAACCTTGTTTGCATTTAAAGAGTATCTAACATATTGTCTAGTGTATTTGTAAGGCAAATATCAACAGTGATAATGATTAACATGTTTGGAATAAATATAACTTGATCCATGTTAACATGGCCATCTCCCGCCGAATGTGTTTGCTCATTGGAAGAATGTATATGAAGTAGAGCAGAATAATTCAATTTTAAGAGGTCTTTTGGTATTAAAAACTGATGGCTGAAGTGATTACTGATTTGAGACGTATATGAATACTGATGACTGAAAATAACAAAGAGCAATAACTGAAAAATAATGCAGAGTAGGTTATCATTCTTGAGTGCTGCACTCCTCTTCAATGAGATCCATCCACCTATGAAGTTTCAAGTTCGGACGGACGGGTACTAAGTTATATTTTGAGGTTCAAGTGAATACCTTATATAGTAAATACTAAATGAGTTACTGTCTGGACAAAAATTAGCATGAAAAATAATAATGGGCAATAACTAAAACATTATGAAGGGTAGAGTTATCATTCTTGTGTACAGCATTCCTCCTCTATAAGATCTATCCACCTATGACGTTTCACGTTGACATCTCAAAGACTTTTGAGTTATGCTCCACTCAAGAAAAAATAAGTATTAAAAATAACAAAGGTCAATAACTCAAAAATTATGAAAGGTAGAGTTATCATTTTTATGCTCTGCACACCTCCTGAGTGAGATTTATCCATATATGAAGTTTCATGTTGATATCTCAAAGGCTTTTTTAGTTGTGCTCTAGACAAAAGAATAAGTATGAAGAATATCAAAGGGCAATAACTGAAAAATAATACAGAAGGTTATCATTCTTGAGTGATGCACTCCTCCTCAATGAGATCTACCCACCTATGAAGTTTCAAGTTGATACCTCATACACATTTTAAGATAAGCTCCGGACAAAAAGAATGAAAATAACAAAGGGCAATGACTCAAAAATTATAAAGGATAGAGTTATCATTCTTGCGCACAGCATTCCTCCTTAATAAGATCTATCCATCTATGAAGTTTCAAGTTAATACATTTTGAGATATACTCCGGACAAAATGTTGGACGGACGGAAGACATTTTTGAGTTATGCTCCACTCAGGTGAAAAATTAAGTATGAAAAATAACAAAGGGCAATAACTCAAAAATTATGAGGGTAGAGTTATCATTCTTGCGCTCTGCACACCTCTTCAATATGATCTATCCACCTATGAAGTTTCAAGTTAATACATTTTGAGATATACTCCGGAAAAAATGTGGGACGGACGGACGGAAGGACGAAAGGAAAGACGGACGGAGACTATTTCTACATCACCGCCGCCTTTTCGACGAAGTATAATAAATCAAGACAATAAAACGAAACAAAATTAGATCGTGGGCAAACCAACATAAATGTAATACTTGATAGCAATTAATGTCTATGATTGAAATGTAGAGAATCATAAAATCAATAAACGCAATGATTATTTTGATAAATACTGAAACTTGTTCACTATTTCAAAACTAAACCACGTAAAGTGTATAGTTAGTATGTTAAAAAAGCAACACCGGAAGGTTGTTGTCTTGTTATAGCTATTTAACAAAATTTGCATTGATTGTAATACTTCTATGTAAATAAACCCATTTTTCAAATGGTGTAGCCATTCAAATACAACTTAATTTTAAGTTAAATGCAACGTTAATAACATAACACTTGTTTGAGAGAAATTAAAGATCAAAACTGAGTGTTTGTATTGAGCCTGTTTTCCTGTGGCGGGTTTTTAATATGAGTTCTGTCCCACCAAATATAAATATTTCATCAACGGCATTCTCATCAGCCTTTAACGTACAATCCATTGGAACTTCAACTTGTCCAATTACTTCACAGTCCCTATCAGTAGTGTATATCGGATCTTGTTGCTTTGATTTTACAACTTTAAGGACAATTTTTGGCTGGTAATCATCAACAGCTTTTCCGATTCTTGACACTTCATGCCCATTCACAATTTCTTGACCAATGCCTACTGCCTTCCAAAACAAATCCCGGCATAATGGCCCGGCATCTGTATTTACTAATTTTTTACAAGAATGCTTGGTTTGATTAAATGGAGCAGCAATTTCAAGACCATATGTATAGCGAGCAATTCTTGATGTAACTATACATGGATTTTGTCCAAACAGAACAGCTCCCTTCAGAACGGCCAATCCGCATTCTGGTGGGATAATAATCTGCTTATCAACAAAGGTATTTCTAAACGTCTCCTGTACGAAAGGACTTTCGGCAAAGCCACCGACAAGCATGATTTTGGTAACATTTATCATGTCTTTTTCTGACAAAATGCTTTTAATGTGTAAAATGACTTTATTTATGGGTTCCTCGAAACATCTCGTCAAGATTGCCGAATCGATTTTTAATTTATCTCTTTTCCATTCAATCTTTTTATCAAATTGAACTTCCACATCTGAAAGAGACCTTTTACCACTTTGTTCATAAGCTTCTTTAAGGCTTGAAGGGGCTTTGATGGTAATATGTCTTTCATTGATTGTCCTTATATTTCTTTTCTTCGTTTCAAAATCTCTGTTTATTTCTAGTATATCTTCAACTTCCTTTTGTTCATATTTTTTCCAAAGGTGCGGACCCAATATATTTTCAAGGAGTTGAATGAAATTCTTGTCCACCTCAGTTCCTCCCCAAGCACCACCGGTAGGTCTATGTATCTCTAAAAGAGTGTTGTTTGGTCTTTTTTCATGTACGGTTATATCTGCCGTTCCACCTGAAAATAATTACACATTTACTGCTAGTGGTTTTTCAAAAGTTTTGCACTTTCTTACGTTAAAGCCCCTAGCAAAGAAAAAAAAAGAATCAGTAAGCTTGGTAAACATGGTATAGCGAAAATATTGCAGACTTGATTGAATATGTTTCCTTATTGCGCTTTTCTTATATACATTAAAGATGAAAAAAATAAATTGCTCTTTTTTCACCAAATTGTCTCCTTTTTATTCACAGAAATAGACAGTTTTAAATTCACAGTTTTAAATTAGTTATTATCGCCGAAATACCAACTCATTTATTAATATAAATTACTATATATTTTCACGACAAATTCACAGTTTTAAATTAGTTATTATCGCCGAAATACCAACTCATTTATTCATATAAATTACTATATATTTTAACGACAAATGAACTGTGCATGTTCAGCACTAGTCTTGTATCACCAATCATTTACACAAATCCATCTGTGTACTTCATTTCTGTGAGAATTTAGCAGTTACTTTATTGTATGTCTATAATGTTTAATTAATCATTAATTGTATAAAAATCTACCTCCTAAATCAACAATCATGTATCTAGTACCAACGGAAGAAATACCAAGTATGGCATTATCGAGTTCACGGCGAACCTCTGTGTGAATTCCTTGGCACCAGATGGATGCAGCCTCAGGTTCGAGTGCTATTGTTAGTTGATTATTAGGTATACCAGCCTGTGATGATAAACGTTTGTTAAAAAAATAACACAAACAACAACAACAAACAACCCCACAAAACACACACACACAAAACTCCTAAAATTGTAAACGTTGTTGACTCATAAAATGATCCTGACATTAAATATAAACAATTATTTAAATATTATGATATTAGATAATATTTGAATGTTAGAATTTGCTAATAATGTATTAAACAAGTAATATTGCAATTGTGTACGCATAGAATTACACCGTACATCATTTCAAAGTTTTTTTGACCATAGAACTATCATCTATAGCTACTTGTCCATCATTCAACAACAATACCTGTTTAGCGGCTTCTCGCATAAAAGTTTTAGCCATGTCATTCCAAATGGCTGGAACTGTCAAGACGTAATTTACATCTGTGTCCTTCACGTTGGTGACTCTATTTCGAACAGTTGCCATAAAACTTTCCTTCAGATATCTTATAGCATGAGCAAATATTACCAATGCTGGCATTTTCTTTCCTGATACATCTTCAATTGTTGTAAAACGGGTCAGTTTCTATAATTATAATAAATGGTATTACAGCAAATAGTGTAAGATACTTATCTCATTTGTTACACAATAAAATATTCATATATAGTATGTATCATATCAGTACAATAGAAAAAGATATATCATTAATATTTGACATTCTTCCCGTCTACAATAAGCATGTATACATGCACTGTCATCACAATATTAGATGTTTATGCGTTTATTAGGAACATATTCAAACATAATAAATTATTACGCATAATTATGTTATTACATTTTGACTCACTTGATTCACTTACAATGATTTTTTGAATTCCATTAACCATAGCCAATACCAATATGTGTATGATCTTTCATTAACAATGATAATGTGACTTATACAATCATCAAAGGTCATTTAATTTACATAATCGGTATTTGACGTTTTGACTTCATACGGTGGCACAAAGGTGACGTGTGTGAATTTTAGTTATATCTCCTGCTAAGTTGGCTAAAAAACAAGTTTACTTTTTGTCGTGGACAAGGAGTATCTTAAATTTCGTGGCCACGAGGTTACTAAAAAACAGTTATCTTCACGTGTTAGTTAGTCGGCCGTAATACGAAACAAACCACCAATCGATCACAAAACAAAGAGCTATAGTCAAAATTAATGTCTGATGGGCCTTGGAATGTGACTTTCTAATATGATCCTAAAGACATATTCAAAGTGAATATCTTTAGTATTTTCAAAGGTTAATGTTGCATGTAAAAGTAAGTTGTTAAGTTTAAAAAATTCATAATATATATAGTGTATTCTGATTAGTTAATTATCTCGTGGCCTCGACTTAGCTATCTCGTTCCCACGATTTAGTATCTCGTGGCCACGACTTAGCTATCTCGTGGCCACGACTTAGTAACTCGTGGCCACGACATAGTATCTTGTGGCCACGAGATAAATAAAAATACACACATGTCACCTTTGTGCCACCGTAACTTCATGATGTATACACAGGTATAATTTGTATGATCCACATTTCTTTATTTATGTAATATGTATACATTTATAATTCAAATGCTTTGTAAACAATTACGTTTTGACTTACATGGTCTTTATACTATAACAGTAAAACCCATATTATAAGTACACAATTATTTCGACTTATATGATATATTTATACAGATATATTTTGAATCATATGACCCTTACATATTAAACAATTAAATGAACCTTTATACAATAATATTTAACTTACTCGGTCATCAAACAATGCCATTTTAAATCTTTGGAAGAAAAACCATCCGCTATGTTGTTTCTTTTCTGCGAGTGTTGCAAACATTGTTTCTGCTTCATAACCAAAACTTTTAAACTCTTTGTTTGGTGTAAGGAGAACACATGATGGTGTTTTAAGCGATCCTAGAGAAGCACTGCCAGCGAACCATACTTGATTTGCATGTACCTTGTTAGGCTCATTACGAGTAGAATATGCCCAGCCACTGTATGTCGTACCTAAATCTATGGCGGCTAAAAATAACCGAGTATTTGTACTGATATCCTGTGACATAGACTCGGCCATTGCACCTGGAAAATAAAAGCAGCATTTTCTCGGATTCCGTCTAAATTTTAGTTTGTTTTAAATTAGGTTGTAATATGTTTATCCGAAACATACTAAATTAGTATTTACAAGTTTATTGCGATAATATAATATAATATAACATGATATGATAATATATGATATGATATCGTATGGTATGGTATGGTAAGGTATGATATGATATGATATGATATGATATGATATGTTATGGTATGGTATGGTATGGTATGGTATGATATGATATAATATAATATAACATATAATAATAACATGATATAATATAAAAGGTTGTTAAGTAAGCACTGACTGGTATAACGGCTAGTTATATGAAAACGCATGACTGTACAAAATACACTGGAGAAACGGGCAAATATCCAAAATTAGTTTGTATATTCAAATGACCGTTTAATGTATCTACCAAATAGCACAGACACTTGGGGTTTGGAGCTCAAAACGCCTTTAAAATCCAAATAAAATGCATATTTGTCAATCCCAGCACATGTACTGATCATATATATCAAAAAACTTAATATAAGCCGTTTTGAAAAAAAATCATATTTCAACATCTATAATAATACACAAGATAAAAATGTTTCGCCGGAAAAAAATCCGCAACCCCTACCGTCATAATACCCATGTATTTTTATTCCATTTCCAATATTTTTCACATAATCCTTTGAGTCCATCGACACAGAAATATAACTCTTCACGATGATGGTCAATTTAAACTTCAACGGTAATATAAACACGCAACAGCCGAAATAAACATCAATATTATCGCCGTTTTTTTCCAACTACAAAATCTTTCGATAAATTCAATGGACCAGACGGCTATGAACGAAGCTATCCGATTATGTGGCCCCAGCTTTGCCGTGTGCAAAATGCGCAGCGCTTTTAAGTTTGGGAACCACATAATCGGATAGCTTCAAACCCCAAGTGCCAAATAGTATAGCCGAATTGTTATTTTAGGATGATTTCTGCTTGATGGGAGGGATTTAGTTTCCGAATATTGAAAAGGTTTTTCCGATGGTGTCCTTTATGTTAAGGCGTAGTGATATCTTCCAAGAAGCAGATATTTATCTATGCTTGTCAAGATGAAATAAGCTTACATAGCTTTTCTTGATTCTCATGAGTTCCATAACAGACTAAATATATTTTGACATGCCTTGAGACAGACGTTATCAAGGTGTCTTTATTATCTTACCATGTCGCGTTAATATGTGTCAACATGTACATGCCGAGACACATGACATCTAGGGGGTCAAATCAAGCTTCGATACTGTTATATGAGCATAGTAGCATAACATAATCATAACTGAAGGTAATAAATGTATATACTTCACATTAATCATAGTAAAATGTATGAAATCAATATAATACGTTTATATCAAATACACTTACCTTAATACATACATATGTAATAACATGGAAACACCTACATATTTGCTGTCACAACATTCAATGATATAATTCTTTAACAGTGTCACCTACATATATAAATATAATATGAACTTAAAATATTCAGCAATTAACTTCCTCTTTCGTTTTTAAAGTTCAAGCCTTGAAGATTAGCCTCCCTTTATAGAAAATATATGGTACAGTATTTTACAGTCTTAAATCAAAATAAATGACGGTATATGATGCATGATTTAAACCTTAATGATTTATAAAACAGAAATCGTTTAAAAACTAATAATGCTTCCTAAGTCAAGGAAAATGTTTAGTTTAAACTGACTCAAACTTCAAACACATTGCAGACTGTAGTAAGACAAAAATATGTGTACATAATCAACATTTTAAAAACTTACTTTCTACATGTTATATAAATTCACGTATTCAGTGAGCCGTGCAGTCAGTGATTGAAAACATGCGTCGGGGTACACATTTTTATTGCTATTAAAGATATAAAACAAGTTTAAGTCGAACACTCATTCGGTCGTACCATTATGGTAAAGTAGGTTGAGCAAGTCAGTCAATTTTTACATTTTGCATTTTTACTGCATCATAGAAGAATAAAAATGGTTATAGATAGAAAATCCGAGCAGCGAAAAGTGAATAGATATGAAATTCGGTTTTCCAGCTCAAACCTGTAATTGTGCACATGTTTTGAGTATGTTTTTTATTTACATGGTTTGTCACGTAACACTACATTTTTGGATATTTAATTTACTGATTTGAACAATTGAAAGTTAAACATATAACGATTGAGCAAAAAATATATGAAAATTTATGATTTTTACGTTCATTTAACAAACCTAGTAGTAACATTAATTTTATTCTATTTTAAAGGTCTGAATTCCGTTCGCCGCATTTTAATAATTTGGCTCATTTGAATATTTCTATTGTCAGTCAGTCATTTTCACCGTAAATACCGACTCTGTTGACCTAACTCAGTCTCATGCGAATGTATGTAAAGCTGAATGTTCTCGAGTAGCATTGTCTGTATGATTTTCAAAAGAAATAAAGTCAGTTATTTAAAAAAATCGAAACAGGGTCTCTGCACACTAGTACTACGCTGAATGAACAAAATATTAATAATTGATTAGGTGGTGAAACATTTAGGCGATAAGTAGTATGCTTTTATGTAACAATTATCGACATCCCTATTTGTTAATATTGATTTAAACAGATTCGAGAAATGGGCAATTATTGTTCACCATAAGTAAGGCGTTATCATCAATGATATGACCAATAATAAACAGTTCTTACATAATATAACCCGAACATATAACATGTCAAACGAAATCAGGACAGATGTGCTATAATATAACGCGAACATATAACCTGTCAAACGAAATCAGGACAGATGTGATATAATGTAACTCGAACATATAACCTGTCAAACGAAATCAGGAAAGATGTGCTATAATATAACGCGAACATATTACCTGTCAAACGAAATCAGGACAGATGTGATATAATATAACTCGAACATATAACCTGTCAAACGAAATCATGACAGATGTGATATGATATAACCCGAACATATAACCTGTCAAACGAAATCAGGACAGATGTGATATGATATAACTCGAACATATAACCTGTCAAACGAAATCAGGACAGATGTGATATGATATAACCCGAACATATAACCTGTCAAACGAAATCATGACAGATGTGATATAATATAACTCGAACATATAACATGTCAAACGAAATCATGACAGATGTGATATGATATAACCCGAACATATAACCTGTCAAACGAAATCATGACAGATTTGATATGATATAACCCGAACATATAACCTGTCAAACGAAATCAGGACAGATGTGCTATAATACAACTCGAACATATAACCTGTCAAACGAAATCATGACAAATGTGCTATAATATAACTCGAACATATAATATAACCTGTCAAACGAACTCATGACAGATGTGATATAATATAAACCGAACATGTAACCTGTCAAACGAAATCATGACAAATGTGATATAATATAACTCGAACATGTAACCTGTCAAACGAAATCATGACAGATGTGATATAATATAACTCGAACATGTAACCTGTCAAACGAAATCACGACAAATGTGATATAATATAACTCGAACATATAACCTGTCAAACGAAATCATGACAAATGTGATATAATATAACTCGAACATATAACCTGTCAAACGAAATCATGACAAATGTGATATAATATAACTCGAACATATAACCTGTCAAACGAAATCAGGACAGATGTGCTATAATGTAACTCGAACATATAACCTGTCAAACGAAATCAGGACAAATGTGATATAATGTAACTCGAACATATCACCTGTCAAACGAAATCATGACAGATGTGCTATAATACAACTCGAACATATAATATAACCTGTCAAACGAACTCATGACAGATGTGATATAATATAAACCGAACATGTAACCTGTCAAACGAAATCAGGACAAATGTGATATAATGTAACTCGAACATATCACCTGTCAAACGAAATCATGACAGATGTGCTATAATATAACTCGAACATATAACCTGTCAAACGAAATCATGACAGATGTGATATAATATAAACCGAACATGTAACCTGTCAAACGAAATCAGGACAAATGTGATATAATGTAACTCGAACATATCACCTGTCAAACGAAATCATGACAGATGTGCTATAATATAACCCGAACATATAATATAACCTGTCAAACGAACTCATGACAGATGTGATATAATATAACGCGAACATATAACCTGTCAAACGAACTCATGACAGATGTGATATAATGTAACACAAACATATAACCTATCAAACGAAATCATGAGAAGTGATATTCAAAGCCTTTGGATCATACAATATTGTATGCGAGTATGTGATGGGATGAATTTATAAAAGACCCTTAAAGTGCCCCTACTTTCGATTAGAATTGTTTACATTGGTAGATGAGTTGTACATACACTGATAACAGAACACACTTTTGTCCTACATACCTTGTGTTTGATAAACCGACAATTTTAAGAAACTGTTTCTAATTTACTTCCTTGATGAAGCAGTGAAATTTTGCCCTAACATTTTGAGAGCGTAAGTTATTTTGTTTTCTACAAGTTTCATTTTTAAAATCATTCTGCTTTACATTATTTCTCTGCTTATGGTATAATACATACAGAATAACCTTTAGTAACTAAGTCATGTATGTTTTTCTGTACCTACTCATATAGCTGTTATTTATGGTGGCTGATTTGTGCCATTCCCCCGGCCAATCGAAAAGTCGAAAATTAACAAGTTAAAATGGCGAGGCGCGGAGCGAAAACACGCTAATAAGCGAGGGCGCGGGGCGAAGTTTAATAAATTAAACTTCTCCCCACGGGGATGCGGAGCGAAATTTAAAAAATAAAACGGCGGGGTCGCGGGACGAAGACACGCTAATTAGCGGGATCGCGGGCGAAGTTTAATAAATAAAACTTCGCCGCGCGTCCTTGCTTATTAGCACGTTTTCGTTCCGCTATCCTGCCAAGCGAAAAGTCGATAATAAACAAGTAAAAAATGGCGGGGGCGCGGCGCGAAAACACGCTAATTAGCGGGGGCGCTAAGAAGCGTGTTTTCGCTCCGCGCCCCCGCAGTTTTATTTCTTAAATCTCGCCCCACGCCGTCGCTAATTAGCGTGTTTTCGCTCCACGTCCCCGCCATTTAACTTGTTATTTCTCGATTTTTCGATTGGCGGGGTCGCGAGGCGAATACACGAATGGCACAAATCAGCCACCATAGTAATTAGTTTCAACTTTACATTATGTAAAAATTAACATATATGAAAACTAAGTCAGTTAGCCAGCACCAGATTGTTAAATATTTACATATTTTAAATATAAGTCTTTGTTTCTGTACATAAACATTGTTTAATATACAAATATACAAGATAAACGATAAACTATAAAGGTAGATAACATTGAAAGTGCTCGTGTGATCAAATTTAGATTTTATGAGTAATATATCGTCCAGAATTTAAAAAAACTTTTATCATTATATCAGTTGTAGTGGCGTTTTTTTTAAAATCTTTAATCATTAAATGCTTCATGGGAAATCTAAGTTTCGGGTTAATATTTTAAATCCTGTTTATTGTACTTAAAACGGTTGGCATTATATAATCCCTATCTATATCAAATGTAGACAAACCATGGGATGTCGAAATTCTACAATCGAATCTGATGATGAAGGCGGCTATACAACATTTGCTAACAAAGATGCACCAGAGAACAGGTATGGAAGTATAAATGATGTACCATTTTATAAAAAAAATTTTTTATATCGTTTCACAGACTTGCATTAAGCAGAACATTTGCTCTTTAATGACAAACTTAAGTTAGCATAGCATTTGGTATAAATGCGTTTTACAAATATCAAATAACGAGCTGAAATATTAGGAACCAAAGGTCGCCAAAAATGGCAAATTGAAAATATTTCTTTAAGGTTCGGTTTGATCTGGCCGGAAATAAGCACACACGTTCGTTATTCGAATTCTCTATCGAATTAAGTTCGGAATTATAACAATTTGCCTTGTTATTTAACTACCTGGACATTAACAGAGAATACGTCAACAAAAACGGACATATAGCAAAATACTTAATGTATATGTTGGAATTTGAAGCTTGAGTGACATTCAAAACATATGTCGTTCGTACAGACTGATATAAGATATATGCGTGCTCCATATCGTTCTAAAACATATTTCAATTTTGTACCAGTATAATATGTTAGCTCATTATTCAGTTTAACAAACTTAACGTATTAGCTTATATTTAAAATTCTGCTGAATGAAAATTTGATTTAGATATTGATTCATTTTGATTATCTTTAATCGACGGTAACTTGATCACTTAGAACTATGCATATATCATTGAATAGGCTGGTGCTTAGTCGTGACATTATTACAAAAACAAAGTTTAACGCAATCATAGGGACACTTTCGGACGCTTCGACATCATATTATAACAATAATATTCCCTTACACATGATACAAACATATTTTAGTAGTATGAGATACGATGCGAGGGGTAATAAAGTTATAGATCGTTCACTTAAAGAGCTTAATGTCGTACATGCTTCATATTTCGGCACATGTCTAAATTTGTTGAAAAAGTCCTGATACCCTTTCAACTGATTAAAAAGTTACGGACAATAGTATGATGAATAAAAATTCACATGCACATGAAAGCTTAACTAACAAAAAAGCGCATGATGATTTTTGTGTCCGCATAATATTCATTTAAAAGGAATGTTGTGTAAAATATAATATACTTCTATAATACAAATATTATAATTCAAGTATTAAAAACGTTTTAGACAATATACTGCAGTGGAATCTGTTGCTGAAACTAGCTCTCAAAATGTTGACAAGTCAACAACGAAAAACTCTGACAAAGACAAAACAGGAACAAAGGACCGTGATAGTAAAAATAATATTAAATAAGTACCAAATGTCAACAAATGTTCTAGTATTTTATGTTTAGATGCTGAAAACAAATACAGTGATTTTATACACATCCTTCCAATTTAAAACTAATATAAATCATTGCCATATATGCAGAACATAGGGTGAATAAAGTGATATAATCTCGGTATTTAAATACATAAGGCGATTAGTTTAATCATTCCTTTTATACTGTTACTTTGTATATAAAGTCCCCATTTGAATACGAATGTTTGAGAATTTGCTATAATTTGACACTTGGTAAGGCATGCATCTTATAGAAAAATAATCAAGTTTTACCTGATTAAAGGAAGGAAAAGAGCAGCCAGGATGCACATATGAAGTACGCAACTGAAGGCTCAAATAATGAAGGAGGAGCAAAACGCCATGCTTCACAGACGGATATAAAAGAACAGACGACATTTACGAGCACCGAAAATATAGTTATAGAGCAAAACAAGTAAATCCTATTCTACTATTTTGTTTTATTTTGTTTTATTTTGTTTTAACGCTTATTTCTTTACCTAAATTGAATGTTTTTGTCTGTTTCATATTTCGGCGTTATATTCTATTTGTTTCTTTGTTTTTAGCTCAACGGAGCACAACGTACTCAAGGTGAGCTTTTGTGATCACAATTTGTCCGGCGTCCGTCTTCCGTCAGTGCGTCCATGCGTACGTCGTCAATGTTTTTCAAACCACTTCTCCTTTGAAACCACCGCGCAAATTTGCTGTAATTTCCCTGGAATGTTCATAAAGCTCTAATAAAATTGTTCAATTGGTTAAAAATGAAATCTTTAAAAAATATCTGCTCTGAAAGTGCAAGGCCTAGATCCTAGATATTTTGTGTTTAGCATTATCTAATAAAACTCAACAAAGATGTTCAAATTATAGACCTTTTGTTAAAATTGACCCAGCCCCAGGGGTCATGCGTTTTCCATATATGTATAGTGTAAAAACTATTCTACTTCTCAGGCTAAAGCTTAGATATTTGGCATAAACCATGGGGTTAAAATTGGCCTCGCCTCAGGGGTCCCTTACTTTATATAGAGATTATGAATTATTATCATTGACTTTTTGATAACTAAATAAAAGGAAAATATTGACATGCAAATTAAAAGTAAATTTCTAAATCTGCTTTACGAAAACTGCGAAAACTGCTTTTCAAGTCACTACAGTATAAATGTGGAAGGAAATCACAAACAAACTGAGCTGTGAGAAGTGTTAAATGTACATCTTCTTGTGGGTGTTTACCATATTTGTTTAAATTACAGCCCTTGGTCCAAAATGTGTACAGGGGTAACTATGTTTATATAGGCTAAAGCCCGTCTCAAACAGAACACGGTTGGCCACACGGTTCCCATATGATTTATACTTATGGAGGGTGATTTATGCCAAAATTACATCTTGCTTTCTTACGTTACATCGTGCTTTCTAACTTGTACATCGTGCTTTCTAACTTGTACATTATGCATTCTGACATATACATCTTGCATTCTGACTTTTACATGTTGCTTTCTTACATGCACATTATGCTTTCTGCTGTGTGCAACTTGCTTAATTTTATGTTGATGTCGTTATTTAATGATCAATTATTATTCATTTGTTGATCTGGTATATGAATTCAATAAATTAACCTGCAACTGTTTGTATTTGGGTCTATTTACTCAGCTTGAATGACGAATGTCATAAGTTAGAATGCGCATAGCCGAAAGCCGAATGCAGCAAGCATAATACAACGCGACATCTGGTGTAATAATATGTGACACCCAAATTATGCTAACAGGTGGCGCTACAGTTATATTCTCGGTAAAGTCCGTATTGCGGTTCGGATTGAGTTTACCAAGTTACGTCCCTTTGTTTTAAAATTTCCATTTGCACTTATGGGAAATTATACAAAACAATTTAACCGATTTTTATATTTATTAATGAAACTCTGTAGGTCAAATTAAATTTCCAGCTGACAATGACAAGTTGCACATTTCCAAATCAAAGGTTTTAGAATTTTTTTTTCATCAACAAAATAATTATAAAATAGAACAGTTGTTCAACATTGTTCAAAGTGCTTGGGTCATAAAAAAACTTCTTATTAAAATATTTCATCCTCTTGAAAAGTTCTTAAATTTTGACATGGCTTATTTCCAATACCTGTGACCATCCCCAACATTTTTAATGTGTTTTTATTAATTAGGACATTTTCTTGCCTATTTTCAAACTAATTTTGTACACACGTTAGATTTTTTAAATTCAACTTGTCCAAAAAATGTCTTTTTTACTAAGTTGAAATTATTCACTAAGATGCTTTATGAATACGGCCCCAGGTTCTTGTTCACAGTGTCAGCTTAAAACTGAAGGAACTGCTGCCAAAATCAGCTGATTCTGAGAAAAAAAAAATGTCAAAACTGTCTAGTCTGTCATTGTCAGCTGGAAATATAATTTGACCTTCAGAGTTTCATTAATAAATATAAAAATTGGTTAAATCGTTTTTTATATATTCCCATAAGTGCAAATGGAAAGTTAGAAAGCACGATGTACAAGTTAGAAAGCACGATGTAACGTAAGAAAGCAAGATGTAATTTTGGCATAAATCACCCTCCATATATACTCTGTTATACACGGATTGACTGGTACGAGTATTTAGCTCCAACCATGCCTTGGGATTAGTTGGTAAGGGAGTATGTACGAATAAAGCACGGACATACTCGGTCGAGCATGGTTTGAACATGATTTGCATACGAATACATACGATTGTTGTACGGTTCCAAGTATGGTCTAGTACAGTCTGGCACGATTAAACACGACTTTAACACGATTTACTTGACTTTCACAAGGTTTACATAGGGTCCCGCCGACTATTGTTCGAGTTATGCTCGAATTATCACACATTCGTGTATGTTTTGATATAAATTGACCCATTTGGATGGTTTGGCTTCATAAATTTTCTAACTTTCAACGAAGAAAAGCCTATATATGTGAATAATTGTTATATAAAACAATGGCAGATGCAATAGAGTAAGAAACTATGATCAGACTGATAGACATTGTTAGATCCCCAGCTCATCAGGCTCGGTAGGGTCAGCAGGTTGAAGTGCTCGGCGGACCTGGATGACCCTTCTTATATTCCTTCTGTGCATGGAAATCTTTTTCTTTCGATGCATTCTAGTGTGATGCTGCAAGTACTCTGGGTAGATCTAGCAGTTGAGGGTGGCAGCAGGTATTTGTGTTTTTTGTTGTAATGTTCGTACTGACGTAGAGGCCGTGTCTGACCGTTCGAGGCCGTGTGAGACCGTGTTCACCCGTACTATACCGTGTATGCCATGTATGATTCGTAATTGAAACGTTTTGGTCGTATGGCGATCGTATTAAACCGTGTGTGCACCCGTGTGAATCGTACCGTGTTCGTGTTACATTCGGGTTTTAAACGGGGTTGGGTGTAGGATGGGGGGAGGGCCCGAACGTTTCCTACGATTTATATAGATTTTGACGGTTGGGCTAAATCGGGAGGGGGATTTCAAATACGGTTTATATAGGGTCTCATACGGACTCAACGGTTCTTACGATATTGCAGGGTGCTTATACGATCATCACGGACATTTCATCCGTACCATTTTTTAAAGTTTTTAAAAATATACACGGCTTCACGGATACACCGAATAGCCCGAGTGTAATTCGGATAACGCCACGGGTTGGTTGGCTGTATGTAACGGTTTACACGGGTGGCCAACCGTATAAACCGTGTGTTCTGTGGAAGACGGGCTTTACATAGAAAGTATATTTTAAGTATTTTTTGGAAAAACTGCCATTTCAAGAACTTAAATGTTGTTCGGTAAATCGCCTTGTGGGACCCTCTTCAAAAAATTACAAATGATAAACAATTGAATGGTTCTGTCCTGGGGTCACTACATAGACACAAAGCTCATATTTTCAGAATATATTTTCAGTCTGTAAATGCTCTTTAGCATTAACCCGCTAGACTATTTGAAGGTCTGAGGTTAAAGGTCATGGCACCAACCAGTGGGAGTGGGGGGGGGGGGCATTTACTAAGACGTTAGCGCTAGTTTTCGTTAATTCATGAAACAGAAAATGTCATAATCGTAAGTAAGACTATTCAGATCAAGATCAGGATTATATTAATACTGATTGTGCATACTTGGGACACGTTTATTATGGTTTAATGCAAAATGCAGCATTTTGTAAACATCTTCGAAAATTGTAAAAATGTTTAGCCTTAGAGGCGAGCTGTTGCGATTGTCAATTGGGTTTGTCCATAAATGGATAAATAAATTCAGTATCAAAATATTCATAATACAATTTAGTGTGTAGTTTGCACTGCATTCATTTTATTTATTCATCAGTGGCATCTTACGGAAATATAGGGAACTATAGTATGTTCTAATATGTAATTATGTTAATAACGGAAACATGGGGAATAAATAATATGTTCTAATATGCAAGGATGTTAATTACGGAAACATGGGGAATCAATAATATGTTCTAATATGTAATCTTTTTAATTACGGAAACATGGGAAAAAATAATATGTTCTAATATGTAATTGTTAATTACGGAAACATGAAAAATAAATAATATGTTCTTATATGTTATTATGTTAATTACGGAAACATAGAGAATAATAATATGTTCTTATATGTAATTATGTTAATTACGGAAACATGGGGAATCAATAATATGTTCTAATATGTAAGGATGTTAATTACGGAAACATGGGGAATAAATAATATATTCTAATATGTAATTATGTTAATTACGGAAACATGGGGAAAAATAATATTTTCTAATATGTAAGTATGTTTATAACGAAAACATGAAGAATAAATAATATGTTCTTATGTGTAATTATGTTAATGACGGAAACATAGGGAATAAATAATATGTTCTAATATGTAATTATGTTAATTACGGAAATTTGGGGAATAAATAATATGTTCTAATATGTAATTATGTTAATTACGGAAACATATGGAATAAATAATATGTTCTAATATGTAATTATGTTAATTACGGAAACATGGGGAATCAATAATATGTTCTAATATGTAAGGATGTTAATTACGGAAACATGGGGAATAAATAATATATTCTAATATGTAATTATGTTAATTACGGAAACATGGGGAAAAATAATATGTTCTAATATGTAATTATGTTAATTACGGAATATAGGGAATAAATAATATTTTCTAATATGTAATTATGTTAATTACGGAAACATGGGGAATAAATAATATATTCTAATATGTTATTATGTTAATTGCAGAACCATAGGGAATACATAATATATTTTAATATGTATTTACGTATGTTGATTATTTTAGAAAATGAAATCATTCTCTTTTTCAAATAACAAATTCTCATGAATTTTTTTTTAGAAACGCGATGGCTGTAAATGGTAATGGTAAAAACAGTGCTGAAGATTTTAAAAATCAAGCAACAGAAAAGAAGACAACAGTAAATGACAATCAAAACATAAACACAAAAGACAATGATACTAAGATTTTAGAAAGGTAAGTACGTGGTATGTGTTTAGTTTTGATTATTTGGTTATAAAAATACAAAGATGTGCCGTGTATTTGATCAGTTTTTAAAGTCAATATATTAAGACTTTTATCACGCCAAGTGAATAAGCCTTTAAATATTCCAATTTTATTAAGTTGTCATACTTGGCCTCTTTAACGCTGTTTGAATGTCAGCAGTTAAAGAGGATGGGTAGATAAAATAGTGCCAATTGTTGCATTTGAATACATTTATATCACTTGTCTATTTTATTGAAATGTTTTATTCGACGTTATAATCTATCTTCAATATATCTTTTGTTTCTTTAAATTCTCAGAGACATAAATCATCTTGTAAATTTGAGATCAATACATATACTTGTGCTGTCACAGTTGTTGACGTCACAAATATGCAAAACAAAATGTACATGCAATGATATATGTCAGCTAATATTTTACATTTTCTTAATGTATTAACATTACAATAAAAACTGTGGATTTGATTGAACGGACAACAATTTTAAAAATAGATTTGAAGTTCACATCTGACATGAATATGTGACTAGAGTACGTTTCAATCGACTTCTCTTAGTAAGTTATAGTGTGGTGTTTTTGTTATATAGCTTGTAGTTCCGGAGAATTTGACAGTGTGGCGTTTCTGAGTTATGCCTTGTAGTTCCGGAGACATTGACAGTGTGGTGTTTCTGATTTATGCCTTGTAGTTCCGGAGACATTGACAGTGTGGTGTTTCTGATTTATGCCTTGTAGTTCCGGAGACATTGACAGTGTGGCGTTTCTGATTTATGCCTTGTAGTTCCAGAGACATTGACAGTGTGGTGTTTCTGATTTATGCCTTGTAGTTCCAGAGACATTGACAGTGTGATGTTTCTGATTTATGCCTTGTAGTTCCAGAGACATTGACAGTGTGGTGTTTCTGATTTATGCCTTGTAGTTCCGGAGACATTTGACAGTGTGGCGTTTCTGATTTATGCCTTGTAGTTCCGGAGAATTTGACAGTGTGGTGTTTCTGAGTTATGCCTTGTAGTTCCAGAGACATTGACAGTGTCGTGTTTTGATTTATGCCTTGTAGTTCCGGAGAATTTGACAGTGTGGCGTTTCTGATTTATGCCTTATAGTTCCAGAGACATTGACAGTGTGATGTTTCTGATTTATGCCTTGTAGTTCCGGAGACATTTACAGTGTGGCGTTTCTGATTTATGCCTTGTAGTTCAGGAGACATTTACAGTGTGGTGTTTCTGAGTTATGCCTTGTAGTTCAGGAAACATTTACAGTGTGGTGTTTCTGAGTTATGCTCTTGTAGTTCCAGAGACATTAACAGTGTGATGTATCTGACATATACCTTGTAGTCCCGGAGACATTGACAGTGTGGTGTTTAAGATTTAATTCCTTGTAGTTCCGGAGACATTGACAGTGTGGCGTTTCTGATTGATGCCTTGTAGTTAAGGAGACATTGACAGTGTGGTGATCTGAGTTATGCCTTGTAGTTCCAGAGACATTGACAGTGTGTTGTTTCTGAGTTATGCCTTGTAGTTCCAGAGACATTGACAGTGTCGTGTTTCTGAGTTATGCCTTGTAGTTCCGGAGACATTGACAGTCTGGTGTTTCTGAGTTATGCCTTGTAGTTCAAGAGACATTGACAGTGTGGTGTTTCTGAGTTATGCCTTGTAGTTCCAGAGACATTGACAGTGTCATGTTTCTTAGTTATGCCTTGTAGTTCCGGAGACATTGACAGTGTCGTGTTTCTGATTTATGCCTTGTAGTTCCAGAGACATTGACAGTGTGGCGTTTTTGATATATGCCTTGTATTTCCGGAGAATTTGACAGTGTGGTGTTTCTGAGTTATGCCTTGTAGTTCCGGAGAATTTGACAGTGTGGTGTTTTTGATATATGTCTTGTATTTCCGTAGAATTTGACAGTGTGGTGTTTCTGAGTTATGCCTTGTAGTTCCGGAGAATTTGATAGTGTGGTGTTTCTGATTTATGCCTTGTAGTTCCAGAGACATTGACAGTGTGGTGTTTTTGATATATGCCTTGTATTTCCGGAGAATTTGACAGTGTTGTGTTTCTGAGTTATGCCTTGTATTTCCGGAGAATTTGACAGTGTGGTGTTTCTGAGTTATGCCTTGTAGTTTCGGAGACATTGACAGTGTGGTGTTTCTGATTTATGCCTTGAAGTTCCAGAGACATTGACAGTGTGGCGTTTCTGATATATGCCTTGTAGTTCCGGAGAATTTGACAGTGTGGCGTTTCTGAGTTATGCCTTGTAGTTCCAGAGACATTGAAAGTGTGGTGTTTCTGAGTTATGCCTTGAAGTTCCAGAGACATTGACAGTGTGGCGTTTCTGATATATGCCTTGTAGTTCCGGAGAATTTGACAGTGTGGTGTTTCTGAGTTATGCCTTGTAGTTTCGGAGACATTGACAGTGTGGCGTTTCTGATATATGCCTTGTAGTTCCGGAGAATTTGACAGTGTGGCGTTTCTGAGTTATGCCTTGTAGTTCCAGAGACATTGACAGTGTGGTGTTTCTGAGTTATGCCTTGTAGTTCGGGAGACATTGACAGTGTGATGTTTCTGAGTTATGCCTTGTAGTTCCAGAGACATTGACAGTGTGGTGTTTCTGAGTTATGCCTTGTAGTTCCGGACAATTTGACAGTGTGGTGTATCTGAGTTATGCCTTGTAGTTCCAGAGACATTGACAGTGTGGCGTTTCTGATATATGCCTTGTAGTTCCGGAGAATTTGACAGTGTGGCGTTTCTGAGTTATGCCTTGTAGTTCCGGAGACATTGACAGTGTGGTGTTTCTGATTTATGCCTTGTAGTTCCAGAGAATTTGACAGTGTAGTGTTTTTGATATATGCCTTGTATTTCCGGAGACATTGACAGTGTGGTGTTTAAGTATATGCCTTGAAGTTCCGGAGAAATTGACAGTGTGATGTTTCTGATATATGCTCTTGTAGCCCCGGAGACAGTGACTGTGTTTTTTCTGATATATGCCTTGCAGTTCCAGAGACAGTGATAGTGTGATGTTTCTGATATATGTCTTGTAGTTCCGGAGACAGTGTTATTGTTGTCTTATAAGTTTCAGTCGCGTTATTTGTATATTTTTTACACTAGTGTAATTTAGTCTTTTAATAACATATATTACACTCCTGTGATAAACAAACAAAACAAAAATTAATGCCTTATATTACGGAAACATTAAGAAACTTAGGTATTGATATCATTAATTTTGTCCGGAAAACAGAAACAAAATTACACCATAGCTATGAGAAACAAACTTAACTCCAATAAAAGTAATGCATTAAAACAGATTAACCTATAGCTCTTCAGCGCTTCTTATGTAAAATTCTTCCAAGTATAATTTCCAATAACCGTAAATTATACCATACCCAGACTATGGTATAATTTTCAGTTTTGAAGATCGACAGAGTAAGTGTTTCTGGGCGGAGCTATAGGTTAAAACAGATACACTATTGGTGCGTTGACGATTTCTGGGTTTGCGTAAATTATACCATAATCACGTGACCTTTCTTATGCAACCTCACTCGACTTCGTCTCGTGAGGTTAAGGCATAAGAAAGGTCACGTGATTATGGTATAATTTACGCAAACCCAGAAATCGTCAACACAGCAATGGTATATCTATTACAAAACAGAAACAAAATTATCACTTTATGTATGCTCGAATAATGTTTGATTCAAAAGAAACAAAAACAACTAATGTCACAATAGGAATGCCTGATAACAGAAAATGAGAAAATATGCAAGGGAACTTGACATTGATGAAAAATTCCCTGCGAAACCCGAAAGAATTCGTTTTGAATGTAATAGAAAATGAAATAGAGAGAAAAAAGAAGTTTTATCTTATATTTTTAAAAGACTTTAAGAAATCGATGTATTCCTTGCAATATTATTGGATTTGACAGACCTCTTAATAAGCGATTTTTATTGTTTAAGGACCCAGTTTGACAAACATAAAGCAGAACAAGAGCGGAACAAAGAATTGCAACAGCTGAAAGATCAACTTCAAGAAAGAAATGATAAGATAAAACAGCTAGATAAGTATGGGTTACATCATGCAAATAAGTTTCTTTAAAAAGAACTTGACATAAAAGGCATATTTTCAAAAAGTTTATAATAAACTATATCTATCAATAATGCTTGTTTTAATTAATTTTCATACTTTTTGGTCAGAGAATTTTATATTTAATGTATTTAAGCATTTCCTAATGTCACAATAGTAATACCATATAATAACAGAAAATAAGAACCGTTTGTAACAATCAAAATACATAATTGCAGGACAACAAAAACAAGCGAACGTGCCATGGATGAAAAAAACCCTGTGAGACCGGAAAGAAATCGTTTGAAACGGGAACATGATCAACTTAAGTAAGTTTAAATAAAGTATAATTAACTATTATCTTACTGATTTTTAAAGACTTTAATTGAAAAGTGTATTCTGAAATCAATTTAAGTTTTGCATTATAATTGGATTTGACATGATTCGTAATAAGCGATTTGTATTGTTTAAGGACCCAGTTTGACAAACTTACAGCAGAAAATGAAGAACAGAAAAAAGAATTGCAACAGCTGAAAGATCAACTTCAAAAAGGAAATGATAAGATAAAACAGCTCGTAGAGTATGGGTTACATTAAAATCATGTTAATTAGTTTCTTTAAAAAAGAACTTGACATAAAAACATATTTGAAAATAGTTTATAATATACTATATTTTAACATAATGTTTGTTTTTAAGTCAATATTCATACCATTCTGTCAGAGAAATTACTGTTTAATGTATCTAAGCATTGCCGTATCAAACAATCATACATCCAGTCGACCACATATTGGGTAATTTTATTTTCCTTTTATATGATGTAAACAAACTCAGGTATCAACAGCAAGGCTTTATTAAATAAAGAAACTTAACTATATCTCAACTGCTATGTATTTGTTAGGAAAAATAATGAGCTGGAGGAAGAAGTCAAACAAACACAGGATAGATGCACTAAAACTTTGGAAGGAAGGTAATAAATTTGTATTTCAAAATTAGTGACATATAAATTATATTGTTTTTGGCTAATCAAATGTTTGAAAGTGGAAAGCTTTGTCTTATATTTCTATCAGGATAATGATACTTTAAACATATCTTTAGGTTTTAGAAGAAATGAATTGTTTCACAATACATACACAATAAGATAATTTATCAAGTAGAAATATTCAAAATTGCATTAAAATTACAATATTTTTTACTTAATACATATATATTTCATTGAAATTTCTTAGAAGCAATTACGATAATACTTATTCTTGATTTGTTGAAAGCGAGTCTAACAGAAAAATGCACATCCAACTGGAAAAAGAGAAAGTTGAATTGCAAAAGAAATTTACAGACTTCGAAAGAAAGGCAAACAAAAAGATAGAAAGACTTAACCAGGAAATGAACGACTTAGCAAAGGAAAAGGATAAGGCTCTTGTTATAAAGAAGAACGAATTAAGAGACGTTCAGGCCGAAAAAGAAGATCTTCTTCTTAGGTTGGCATACTATGTTTATTTGCAGTAAAACCTCAAACCTTTGTCTTGTAATCCATAAACGTACATGTATTCGTTTAGTTCATTTTTTGCATGATTTTCTTGAGAATAGTTTCATGACGAGCACATTTATATGTCATATGCCGATTTTATTCGGAGTATATTGCCTTTTAAGGAAAATGTCGGGGTTTAGCGAGATCGATGCAGTTTTGATATGTTAATTGTCCACACAAGGTTTCTCCTTTTCTATGATTTTCTCAGTTTCAGAAATCGTTATTGATTTGCAATATAAAGTTTAATTTTCTACCTAATCAATGTTAGTCTATGCGCTCCCTGATAAAATATATGTCTCCTATAGGTGCAATTATTTATGATCTTCGGTTTTTTTTATTCAATTTCTAGTTCTTCAATGATGAAAGTATAATTATTGTATATATTAGCATTAGTTACAAGATGACGACTCTAAACAATTCTGCATAATGATATTGTACTGTATGGAAATACAATTAGTTTTTAACGAAACATGCATTGCTATACATGTGTAACGATAATTTCAGATTAAGTGAAATGACAGGTAGACGCCTAACTGATAATAATGCAAACATAGCAGATCTAAGTGACCAGAATAGACCAACAAAACTGGCTGAGAAATATGCAGAGTTATACGATAACGAATGGACAGATGCCTTCTCTTATCTACAAACTCTTGATGTCTCTAAAGATTCAGAAAAACGCATCATAGATATATTACTGACTATTCTAGTTGTATGCTTATACTATTTATAAAAATATTTTTTTTAGTAACAGCTTGTTTCAAAAGTTAAAACACATTTCAATACATATGTTTCTCCGTGCTTTTTAGCGAGTGTTTTAAAACATGGGTAATTCTGAAAAAGTATACCCGTACTTGAAAATATTATTTATTTATTTATTTGTTTGTTAAGTCTCCATTTCATACATGACGTATATAACAATCATTAAAATACTGGATAAAACATGTATGCAAACATTCAATAAGAATTATTAAAGACTATACGTTCATAATTAAACAATCATATTCTTTGCCAATCTGTCTGATATACATGATTAAGAGTGAAATAAAAAAGAAATATACCTAAGCACTGTACATGAATTAAACTAGTACATTGTACAATCAGATAAACCTAGGAAATAAATAGTATTCACACATAAAATCTTTATAGTCATGTAAGTTAAAAAACAACATGCACTAAATGGTTGACATTATACATTACACCAAACATGATGGAACGTTTATTATTCCTTTGTTTTATTATTTATTTGAATAAGGAGAATGTGTGGAGTGTTACGAATATGTGAAGTGTCATTTTTTTTCTGTTTTTAATCTAGGAAGCATTCACTCTATCGACAAAAACAGCCGAGAAACAACTAGATACAGTTCGTAAAACACTTGAAGATTTCTACGGGGTAAATCAGTTTCATCTCTCTTTGCATGTACATCTTCATTACTTTGTGATTCCGTAAGAATTTGTTTCTCTGTAGAAAAAGTAAAACAAATGGTTTTTATATTCATCAATTTAATCATGCGTACATCAGTATGACTTTATTTTATAATATCAATTTTAACATAAATTTTTTTTTGAAATAATATGTTTCTTTTCCAGAAAACATCACAAAATAGAGACCAAGTACAAGATCTTATAAAGAAATTAATAGATCAGAGGAAAAAAGTCACACAACCAAGCATCGACTTAGAAAAGGTACTTTTATAATAACATATTGATCTAAGTTAAAGTATTTTCTTATTATCTTTAGTAAGATTACTTTATGATAGCATTTTGTGTTTAGTAAGATTACTTTATGATAGCTTAATGCATTAAGTTAGATAAATTTATAATAGGTTATTGTGTTTAGTAATGTTACTTTATGATAGGTTATTGCGTTAAGTTAGATAACTTTATGATAGGTTATTGTGTTAAGTAAGATAACTTTATAATAGGTTATTGTGTTTAGTAATATTACTTTATGATAGGTTATTGTGTTTAGTAATATTTCTTTATGATAGCTTATTGTGTTTAGTAAGATAACTTTATAATAGGTTATTGTCTTGAGTAATATTACTTTATGATAGGTTATTGTGTTTAGTAATATTATTTTATGATAGCTTATTGTGTTTAGTAAGATTCCTTTATGATAGCTTATTGTGTTTAGTAATATTACTTTATGATAGGTTATTGTGTTTAGTAATATTACTTTATGATAGGTTATTGTGTTTAGTAATATTACTTTATGATAGGTTATTGTGTTTAGTAATATTACTTTATGATAGCTTATTGTCTTGAGTAATATTACTTTATGATAGATTATTGTGTTTAGTTAGATTCCTTTATGATAGGTTATTGTGTTTAGTAATATTACTTAATGATAGGTTATTGTCTTGAGTAATATTACTTTATGATAGGTTATTGTGTTTAGTAAGATAACTTTATGATAGATTATTGTGTTTAGTAATATTTCCTTATGATAGGTAATTGTGTTTAGTAATATTACATTATGATAGGTTATTGTGTTTAGTAATATTTCTTTATGATAGCTTATTGTGTTTAGTAATATTACTTTATGATAGGTTATTGTGTTTAGTAATATTACTTTATGATAGCTTATTGTGTTTAGTAATATTTCTTTATGATAGGTTATTGTGTTTAGTAATATTTCTTTATGATAGGTTATTGTGTTTAGTAATATTACTTTACGATAGCTTATTGTGTTTAGTAAGATTACTTTATGATAGATTATTGTGTTTAGTAATATTACTTTATGATAGCTTATTGTGTTTAGTAAGATTACTTTATGATAGCTTATTGTGTTTAGTAAGATTACTTTATGATAGCTTATTGTGTTTAGTAAGATTACTTTATGATAGCTTATTGTGTTTAGTAAGATTACTTTATGATAGCTTATTGTGTTTAGTAAGATTACTTTATGATAGATTATTGTGTTAAGTAAGATTACTTTATAATAGCTTATTGTCTTGAGTAATATTACTTTATGATAGGTTATTGTCTTTAGTAAAAATACATTTATAATGATTAAATTTTTTTTAGTAAAGGCACTTTTATAATAGATTAATGTCTTTTGCACAGCCTCTTGTATCATGAGAAAAAGTTCTTTTTTGGTAGCATATTGTTTTCAGGAAATGTTCATGCATGATTCATGTTTATATTTAGTACAGGTACTTAAAGATCCTGTAACACAATTTTTTCATGGTTTTATTTCATAAATATGATGCTCAAATTAAGATTTGTCAATATTTTAAGCTTAAATAAGCATTATTTATAAAGATAATACCCAATTTAACATTTCATGTAAATAAAGGGAGGTAATTAGAAATTTATTTTCTATAAATTCTAAGTCAAATTTTCCAATAAGAAATTAATGCATGTAATTTATTGATTAAATATAATGTGCACAAATATTTGCAGTACACATTTTACATATTCTTTGATGTTTGAAAAATGTTTTATTTGCATAATTATATACACATATAATTTTTTGCAAGTGTGGTATACGCATAGTAACAATATCAATCACAAAACATACAGGATCTTTAAATAATACATGTAGCATATTGTCTTTATTTCATTTATTCTCCAATTTTTAATTCTGTTTTGATCCCAGTTTCTTTGCGAGGTAATATAAATGTTTTCGACTTCCCCGATATAATTGTATTGAATGAAGCAAATTACATTTTGGCAAATTTTACAAAAGGTATATATAAACTTCAAACTGTTTTGTCATATGTATATAATTATACAGGAATACAAGGTTACAGTATCAAGAAAGATCAAAGACCTTCCACCCTCATCGTTGGAATCAGAAGCATTCAAACCTTTTGTACAGAAATGTCTCGAATTATGCTGGTTAATGGCAATACAAGACCCACCATTATATTTAACGCTAGAAAATTGCAAAACAGGCCAAATATTTGATCGAAACACTTTCAAAGAATACACAAAGTCCGGCGGATATATAGAGTTCGTTGTGTGGCCTGCTGTCTTTTTAGAAAAGGGTGGGCCACTTCTTTGCAAAGGTGTTGTGCAATGTAAGAAATCTAACTCGTTTCAGTTAAGAAGCAAGGATGGTAGCCAAACAGGTCAGAGGCTAGCTAAATCTCTGTACTCTAAAGATACGACTGTTACATTAACATCTACACTAAGTCTTGACTCTGAAAAATGCAATAAATCTTCTTCTCTGACAAATGCCAGTCAAGTAAATGATCAATCTGGAAACACAAAACTGTAGAAATAAATAATGATTTAAGCATAAAACATTCAGTACAATTAATTTTGTTTTGTTTCATTTGTTTGCGTGGAATTATTTTGTTTTATTAGTTTGCGTGATTTGGGTTGAATCTGAGCCCATGCATTATCTTATATTTTTTGTGTGACATCATACTGCTCTATATGCACATTTGAATGAGATATAAAGAGGCACTTCTGGATAAGGCGATTTGAGCATTTCTTGAGTACAAACAGCCACCAAGTGGTATGTTACAAACGTTTGTTTGGTCAGAATAATCAATTTTACTTTAACCTGTATTAAAGATATAAGGCACTGTAAACTTTATAATTGTGTTCAAATAGTTAAGTCATCCTGTTACGAGGTGTATTTGTCGATGACGTCATAATTAACAATAATTAGCCATGTACTTTGTACAGGATGTCAAAATGAATACGGTGATACAAAACTGTTATTTTTGAAAATAAAAATAGAGAATAAGCAGAATAAAGCAACGGTACGTTATATATAAAGATACAAATTGAGTTTCAAATACCTGATATATACTGTATATATTGAAACAATAAACGGATTTATAGCTAGTTAAAACGCAACTCGAATTAGTTTGCATTTATTTCTAATTCTAATTTACACAGATCGCATTTCTGCAGATATGAAACGATTTGTTGAATACATTGTCTTGATACAATCATTTTTGTTTTAATATATCTATTGCATGCATTTCTAAATATATCGCTTTGTGAAACCAATATGTTATACTGAATACCTTCATGAGTATTTGTCATGCCAAAAAAATCAGAACAAAAACAACATTTTGTGTCTATCATTGTTCTAAGTTGTATATTTCTGAATTATTTGAAAGTGACACATTCTATACAACATCTACTTAGCACTTTTATAACTAAGATTTAGTTCTTATAACCATTGTTAACACATTTCCAGTTAGTAGCTATAGAAAGGATTTAAACAATATATATATTATTTTGTGAAAAGGACAGTGTAGTCAGGTTAGCTTGAATTATGAACTTTAGCTTAATTATCATCACATTGGATTATATTTCGTTTGTAGTAAGGTTAAATATATTAATAAACAGATAAAAATTTTATGTTGTACTTTGTTTATGAAACATATATTATTTTATTGTTAACACAAACGTGATGTAATGGTAACAATGAACGGGATATATGATATTTAGCTACAGTTGGATCGCTATCAATCTTCAATGTTACTTGTTCTAAAACTGTCAACAAATATGTTTATTTTTTCATGACACAGTCCCAGACAAAGTTTGATATGAGGCAAAAAAAGACAACACCCATGTTTTTATGAAGAACACTTTAAAGCATCAAAACCTAGAAAGCATAGCAAATAATCATTATAACATGTGCACATATGATTTCAACCAGGATTTAGTCTTTGAAATTGCACTCATTGTTTTGAAGGTATTAAATCCACCGGATACCTTTCAATGTTACTTTTATCGAAGCTAACGTTTCGTACTTGAAATTTATACACCCGCAATATAACATGTGATTTTAAAAGTATGTTATATATATTAATATATATTTAGCAATAGTAATGCTTGCTGTGTTAATCTAATGAAACCGAGAATTATTTTAATTTTTATATAATAATTTTATACAAATAGATTAAAATGAGGTTATATGTATTAATATTTTAGTGAAATGAACATCTACTTATACATTTGCTATCAACATTTTTGACGTAGTTTATAAACTGACATGTTAACAGGTGTAACTTTGAATACATTTTGTATGTGCCAATACTATTTAAAAACACATCAAGCCACGTTTCCATACATTCTTATCGATTTCATTGAAACCAAATTTCATTGAAACCAAATTAGATTACAAACACGTTCGACAAACGTCACTTATCTTTATCACAAACATTTCAGATTGACTCCCTTTACATTGCACATTTAAAGTAAGCATTTAATTATTTTTTGATATTTTATCATGCTGTAAAAATATAATGATACAGCATCAGTAAAATTAGTACTTTGACGTTTTGATTATATACATGATTTTCTCCTATATTTGGCAACTATTTGGTGATAATTTCTTTACCATTACTAGCATTTTTTCCCTTTTAAAAGCATCAAACCTCTGTTTTTAAAACTAATTGTAAGGTAGCGGTTTTCTAATTTTGAATCACAACCAAAACGTTCATATGCAATTAATACAATCATTACTTTTAAACTAATATAGCTAACTTCTGTATATGATCAAGTAAATAAGATAAGTTAAGCTGTATAAGACAATGTATGTTTATATATTAAACATAAGACTGTTAAATTACGTGTTCTATATTTCGAATAGGTAAACAAATTAAGAATGAGATATTGGGTCATAACAAATGTATATAGAGGCGTTATTGGAAAAACAAGTACCGTGTAATTATACACAATAAGGTAGACACAAAACTGTAAAACAATCTAACAAATATTTCAACGTTGAATTTGTAATTTAATATTTTCTAGTGTCAAAACTTTAAACAATCCTATTGATTTTTGTTTTGAAATCGCGATGCATAGAACTTAAAATAATATTAAAAGTAAAATTTTAAGAAAATAAAGATTTAGATTTTAGTTAAATACATTGAAATATTAAACTATCTAATAAGGAAATATCTAGTTATAATAATTTATCGAGAGGGATAAAAAAGACAACTGTATGTAGTTGGAAATAATGGGAAATTTGTTGGCTTATCCGCCATATATAGACGCTCGTCGACGTGAAAAACTTTCCGCTAGACAAACGCGGTCAGGTAACAATCTGCAAGGTGCCAGCAAAATTGTTTTACCTTATAACAGTTTTAGTATGAACACAAGGACACCGTCAGAGGTAGGTTTTATTTTAGACCGTTATTATTTGTTTCTGTTTATTTGAATTAAACTTGTATATAGCATTATTTAAACAAAATTGCTTTAGCATTAAGTTAAATATAAACACAGCCAAAGTAAATACGACATATTTTGTATCGTTTATGTTGCAAATATATTTTAATTGTATTGATTTGTATTAGAATTTGAAATTACGGTTCCTTTTTTCTTTCTGTAGCATTTCTCTTTGCATATTTTTTTCAGTAAAATATTTCTATATGCATGTCGTAAATAACAATGTAACGTGTGATTTAAAAACATAAATGTATAAGCTATTCATTAAAAATAGATACAATGTTAACTAAAGTACATCAGACATTATTTGCTTATGTATACTTTTTGTAAGGTTAAGTTACTAGTATTGAAATCCACATGACTGCAATTAAAATGTAAAAATCAATAGCGCATTATATTTTTCACATTATTTACAAGAGATAAAGGTAATTCTTGTTACTCGATGGTTATTTAAATATTTCAGTTGTAAACGAGTTTGAGGAAACATTAATAATATGTGATAAAATTGCAATCATACACAAACGTTCTTTATATGTAATTAACTTGCAATCATACACAAACGTCGATGATATGTAATTAATTGGCAATCATACACAAACGTTGACAACATGTAATAAAATTGAAATCATACACAAACGTTGATAATATGTTATTAACTGGCAATCATACATACACGTTGTTAATATGTCATATTTGGCAATCACGAACAAACGTTGACAATACGTAATTAACTGACATTTTTTGATAATATGTAATATTTGGTAATCATGGAAAAACGTTGATAAAATGCAATTATTATGTATGTATGTATGTATGTATGTACGTATGTACGTACGTACGTACGTACGTACGTATGTATGTATGAACGTACGTACGTACGTACGTACGTTTGTATGTATGTATGTACGTACGTACGTACGTATGTATGTATGTCTAATGTGTTATTAACTTGCAAGAGGTTTTCTTCATGTACAAGACGTAGGACAACTCAAGTTTAAGATAAAATAAACATGCACGCAATTAAACTGACTTCTTGTTATCAATGTTGATAAAACAAAATTTTAATAGTTCATTTAATCAAAAGGAAACATTGTCTTATATGTCACGTAAAAAAACGAAACTGAAATGTGAAATCCTTGTTTTATATCATACAAGTTGCAATCAATTTTTATTGACCTTAACAGTATAATGAAGTTCATTTTTCCGATATCAATTTTTTATATTATTTTTTTATTATTTAGTCTAGTTCGGTTCGACAAAGTATTATAAAACATGAATCATTTTGCAATGTTTGAATTAATCATAAACACTATAAGGAAAATACCACACATGTAGGAATATGATATACACAGACATATAAAATGTTTCACTATAATCCATGTGTCTATTCTCGTTATTAAAGATGACAGAGATAAAACGTGTTCATGATTCATCTAATTCGATGGACACTTCACAATTTGAAGTTGAGACTGTGAAATTGAGCAGCAATAACACATCCAGGGCCTCAAGTTTTAACAGGTCTAGCAGGTATATTTACAATAACACATACAGATCCTCAAGTTTTAACAGGTCTAACAGATATATTTACAATAACACTCCCAGGGCCTCAAGTTTTAACAGGTCTAACAGGTATATTTACAATAACACCCCCAGGGCCTCAAGTTTTAACAGGTCTAACAGATATATTTACAATAACACACCCAGGGCCTCAAGTTTTAACAGGTCTAACAGATATATTTACAATAACACCCCCAGGGCCTCAAGTTTTAACAGGTCTAACAGATATATTTACAATAACACTCCCAGGGCCTCAAGTTTTAACAGGTCTAACAGGTATATTTACAATAACACCCCCCAGGGCTTAAGTTTTTACATTTCCAACAGGTTTATTTACAATAACACCCCCAGGGCCTCAAGTTTTAACAGGTCTAACAGATATATTTACAATAACACCCCAGGGCCTCAAGTTTTAACAGGTCTAACAGATATATTTACAATAACACATCCAGGGCCTCAAGTTTTAACAGGTCTAGCAGGTATATTTACAATAACACATACAGATCCTCAAGTTTTAACAGGTCTAACAGGTATATTTACAATAACACCCCCAGGGCCTCAAGTTTTAACAGGTCTAACAGGTATATTTACAATAACACCCCCAGGGCCTCAAGTTTTAACAGGTCTAACAGGTATATTTACAATAACACCCCCAGGGCTTAAGTTTTTACATTTCCAACAGGTTTATTTACAATATCACATCCAGGGCTGCGAGTTTTAAAGGTCTAACAGGTTTATTTACAATAACACATCAAGGGTCTCAAGTTTTAACAGGTCTAACACGTTTATTTACAATATCACGTCAAGGCCTCAAGTTTTAACATGTCTAACAGATATATTTACAATAACACTTCCAGGGCCTCAAGTTTTAACAGGTCTAACAGATATATTTACAATAACACCCCCAGGGCCTCAAGTTTTAACAGGTCTAACAGATATATTTACAATAACACCCCAGGGCCTCAAGTTTTAACAGGTCTAACAGATATATTTACAATAACACTCCCAGGGCCTCAAGTTTTAACAGGTCTAACAGGTATATTTACAATAACACCCCCAGGGCTTAAGTTTTTACATTTCCAACAGGTTATATTTACAATAACACCCCCAGGGCCTCAAGTTTTAACAGGTCTAACAGATATATTTACAATAACACCCCCAGGGCCTCAAGTTTTAACAGGTCTAACAGGTATATTTACAATAACACTCCCAGGGCCTCAAGTTTTAACAGGTCTAGCAGGTATATTTACAATAACACATACAGATCCTTAAGTTTTAACAGGTCTAACAGGTATATTTACAATAACACCCCCAGGGCTTGAGTTTTTACATTTCCAACAGGTTTATTTACAATATCACATCCAGGGCTGCGAGTTTTAAAAGGTCTAACAGGTTTATTTACAATAACACATCAAGGGTCTCAAGTTTTAACAGGTCTAACACGTTTATTTACAATATCACGTCCAAGGCCTCAAGTTTAACATGTCTAACAGGTATATTTACAATAACACTCCCAGGGCCTCAAGTTTTAACAGGTCTAACAGGTATATTTACAATAACACATCCAGGGCCTCAAGTTTTAACAGGTCTAACAGGTATATTTACAATAACACTCCCAGGACCTCAAGTTTTTACATTTCTAACAGGTTTATTATTATTATCACATCCAATGCCTCGAGTTATAAAAGGTCTAACAGGTTTATTTACAATAACACACCCAGGGCCTCAGGTTGTAACAGGTGTAACAGGTATATTTACAATAACACTCACAGGGCCTCAAGTTTTAACAGGTCTAACAGGTATATTTACAATAACACCCCCAGGGCTTAAGTTTTTACATTTCCAACAGGTTTATTTACAATATCACATCCAGGGCTGCGAGTTTTAAAAGGTCTAACAGGTTTATTTACAATAACACATCAAGGGTCTCAAGTTTTAACAGGTCTAACAGGTTTATTTACAATATCACGTCCAAGGCCTCAAGTTTTAACATGTCTAACAGGTATATTTACAATAACACTCCCAGGGCCTCAAGTTTTAACAGGTCTAACAGGTATATTTACAATAACACATCCAGGGCCTCAAGTTTTAACAGGTCTAACAGGTATATTTACAATAACACTCCCAGGGCCTCAAGTTTTTACATTTCTAACAGGTATATTTACAGTATCACATCCAGGGCCTCGAGTTTTAACAGGTCTAACAGGTATATTAACAATAACAGTCTCAGGGCCTCAAGCTTTTAAAATAGTAACAGGTATATTTCCAATAACACATCCAGGGCCTTGACTTTTATAAGGACTAACAGATATATTTACAAACACATGCATGGCCTCAAGTTTTACAGGTCTAACATGTATATTCACAATAACACTCCAAAGTTGAGACTGTGAAATTGAGCAGCAATAACATTCCAAGGGCCTCAAGTGTTTACATTTCTAACAGGTTTATTATTATTATCACACCCAGGGCCTCGAGTTATAAAAGGTCTAACAGGTTTATTTACAATAACACACCCAGGGCCTCAGGTTTTAACAGGTCTAACAGGTATATTTACAATAACACCCCCAGGGCCTCAAGTTTTAACAGGTCTAACAGGTATATTTACAATAACACCCCCAGGGCTTAAGTTTTTACATTTCCAACAGGTTTATTTACAATATCACATCCAGGGCTGCGAGTTTTAAAAGGTCTAACAGGTTTATTTACAATAACACATCAAGGGTCTCAAGTTTTAACAGGTCTAACAGGTTTATTTACAATATCACGTCCAAGGCCTCAAGTTTTAACATGTCTAACAGGTATATTTACAATAACACTCCCAGGGCCTCAAGTTTTAACAGGTCTAACAGGTATATTTACAATAACACACCCAGGGCATCAAGTTTAACAGGTCTAACAGGTATATTTACAATAACACTCCCAGGGCCTCAAGTTTTTACATTTCTAACAGGTCTATTTACAGTATCACATCCAGGGCCTCGAGTTTCGACAGGTCTAACAGGTATATTTACAATAACACTCTCAGGGCCTCAAGCTTTTAAAATAGTAACAGGTATAATTACAATAACACATCCAGGGCCTCGACTTTTATAAGGACTAACAGATATATTTACAAACACATCCATGGCCTCACGTTTTTACAGGTCTAACATGTATATTCACAATAACACTCCCAAGTTGAGACTGTGAAATTGAGCAGCAATAACATTCCCAGGGCCTCAAGTGTTTACATTTCTAACAGGTTTATTTACAATATCACATCCAGGGCTTCCAGTTTCAACAAATCTAACAGGTATATTTACAATAACACTCTCAGGGCCTCAAGCTTTTAAAATAGTAACAGGTATATTTACAATAACGCATCCAGGGCCTCAAGTTTAATTAGGTCTAACAGATATATTTACAAACACATCCAGGACCTCAAGTTTTTTTTCAAGTGTAACATGTATACTTACAATAACACTCCCAGGGCCTCAAGTGTTTACAAGTGTAACAGGAATATTTACAATAACACTCCCAGGGCCTCAAATGTTAACAGGTCTTACAGGTATATTTACAATAACACTCCCAGAGCCTCAAGTTTTTACAATTTTAACAGGTTTATCTACAACAACACATTCAGGGCCTCCAGTTTTTAGAAGTTTAACAAGTATATTTACAATAATACGCCCTGTGCCTCAAGTTTTTACAAGTTTACAAGTATTTTAAAGTTTGTTCTAAAGCATTATATGTGTATATCAACTAGTTTTTGCAGTTGGAATCTCACAAAGACATGAACAAGATTTAAACAATTCATTTCTTACTAAAAATATCTGGTAGAAGAGTGTATGTGTTGCAGTATTTTTCCAGAATAAAATTTATATATAATATTGACATTTTTTCTCATTTATTGTCTACATTCTACGTGTGCTATTGTCACTTAACTACATTCTTTTTTTGTAATCTTTTTAAACAATATATCATCTGTTTTTTGTTGTTGTAGGTATATAAAGAGATATAGAAATGAAGAGGAGAAGTTATTAGATATGCTTCATGAACGAGAAGCGGTCATTAAATCAGCTGTAAAACAAGGCCAGGAACTAAGAGCCAAGTGTAACAGATATAAAGAGGAACTTGACAGGTAAATCTTTATTGTAAGTGTAACAAAACTTGACAGGGAAATCTTTACTGTAAGTGTAACAGATATAATGAGGACTTTGACAGGTATATCTTTATTGTTAGTGTAACAGATGTAAAGAGGAACTTGACAGGTATTTTGTTATTGTTAGTATAACAGACATTAAGAGGAACATGACAGGTAAATCGTTATTGTTAGTGTAACAGACATAAAGAGGAACATGACAGGTAAATTGTTATTGTTAGTGTAACAGACATAAAGAGGAACATGACAGGTAAATCGTTATTGTTAGTGCAACATACATAAAGAGGAACATGACAGGTAAATCGTTATTGTTAGTGTAACAGACATAAAGAGGAACATGATAGGTAAATCGTTATTGTTAGAGTAACAGACATAAATATGAACTTGACAGGTAATTTGCTATTGTTAGTGTAACAGACATACAGAGGAACATAACAGGTAAATAGTAATTATTAGTGTAACAGTTATAAAGAGGAACTTGACAGGTAATTTGTTATTGTTAGTGTAACAGACATAAAGAGGAACTTGACAGGTAAATCGTTATTGTTAGTGTAAAAGACTTAAAGAGGAAATTGACAGGTAAATTGTTATTGTTAGTGTAACAGATATAAAGAGGAACTTGACAGCTTATTTGCAAATGTTAGTGTAACAGACATAAAAACATAACAGGTTAATAGTAATTATTAGTGTCACTGTTATAAAGAGGAACTTGACAGGTAATTTGTTATTGTTAGTGAAACAGACATAAAGAGGACCATGACAGGTAAATCGTTATTGTTAGTGTAACAGACATAAAGAGGAATTTGACAGGTAAATCGTTATTGTTAGTGTAACAGACAAAAAGAGGCACTTGACAGGTAAATTGTAATTGTTAGTGTAACAAACATAAAGAGGCATTTGACAAGTAACTTGTTATTGTTAGTGTAACAGACATAAAGAGGCACTTGACAGGTATATAGTTATTTTTTAAGAGGAACTTGACAGTTAAATTGTTTTTATTTTTCTGTCTGTTTTTACAAAAAGTTATATCAATATCATTATAATATGAATGTTTTCTACATCAGATAAAACAAAACTCATTAAGGAACGCAAATTCACTAATTTCACTAAAATGAAATAAATACAAGTACACAAATTTTACATCTTTAGTAAAACTGTGCATAATTACCGCACGTACATAATTTTTCGCACTTATTTTTTAAAAAAGCAACTATAAAACTACACAAAACCTTTAAAATAATATAACGTGAATCTCATTAAAGGAAACCGCTAAACGATAATTTTGAATACGATAATCATGAACACCGGCTATCTTAATTTCAATTGTAGCTATGCCACTAATGTACATCAGCATTTTTCATTTGTGACATTCTAGTACACGGGATGTGTTTCTTTCACCTGTAGCTACACCACGCATGAACACCATTATTTGCTTCACTTAAGCCACGCATGAACACCATTATTGCTTTACTTAGGCCTGGCATAAACACAATTATTTTTGTTTCACTTACGCCACGCATGAACACCATTATTTGCTTCACTTACGCCACGCATGAAGACCATTATTTGTTATAGGTACGCCACGCATGAAGACCATTATTTGCTTCATTAAAGCCTCGAATGAACACCATTATTTGCTTCACTTAAGCCACGCATAAACACCTTTTTTGCGTCACTTACGCCACGCATGAACACCATTAAGTGCTTCACTTAAACCACGCATGAACACCATTATTTGCTTCACTTAAGCCACGCATTAACACTATTATTTGCTTCACTTACGCCACGCATGAACACCATTAAGTGCTTCACTTAAGCCACGCATGAACACCATTATTTGCTTCACTTAAGCCACGCAAAAATGCTATTATTTGCTTCACTTACGCCACGCATGAACACCATTAAGTGCTTCACTTAAGCCACGCATGACACCATTATTTGTTTCACTTACGCCACGCATGAACACTATTATTTGCTTCACTTACGCCACGCATGAACACCATTAAGTGCTTCACTTAAGCCACGCATGAACACCATTATTTGCTTCACTAACGCCACGCATGAACACCATTAAGTGCTTCACTTAAGCCACGCATGAACACCATTATTTGCTTCACTTAAGCCACGCATAAACACTATTATTTGCTTCACTTACGCCACGCATGAACACCATTATTTGCTTCACTTAAGCCACGCATGAACACCATTATTTGCTTCACTTACGCCACGCATGAACACTATTATTTGCTTCACTTACGCCACGCATGAACACCATTATTTGCTTCACTTACGCCACGCATGAACACCATTATTTGCTTCACTTACGCCACGCATGAACACCATTATTTGCTTCACTTACGCCACGCATGAACACCATTATTTGCTTCACATACGCCACGCATGAACACCATTAATTGCTTCACGTACGCCACGCATGAGCACCATTATTTGCTTCACTTACACAACGCATGAACACCTTTTTTTGCTTCGCTTACATCACGCATGAGCACCATTATTTGCTTCACTTACACCACGCATGAACACCATTATTTGCTTCACTTAAGCCACGCATGAACACCATTGTTTGCTTTACGTACGCCACGCATGAACACCATTATTTGCTTCAATTACGCCACGCATGAACATCATTGTTTGCTTCACTTACGCTTAGCATGAACACCATTGTTTGCTTCACGTACGCCACGCATGAACACCACTATTTGCTTCTCTTGTGACTTAATTAATAATAATGAACATCAGCTATTTTACTTTAACTCATGGCTACCTTTATCATTAACACCAGCTATTTTACTGTCACTTCTTACTGCTAAAAATGTGTATATTAATTGAATATTCTTTAAATAATGTGTGTGTTTTAGCTTAAAAGCCTTTAGTGACGTAGACATGACGGATGTGGAATGGAAGAAGATGTATAATCAGCTTGATAAAAAAAATCGAGATTTGAAAGAAGAACTGGACATTATAACAGCCAGGAATAAAAACGGAAGGTATTAATAGATATGATTTTTTAATCTCTTTTTTTAAGGAATAGTGATTCAGCATTTATTTACAGTCATATTCCAAATTTATGATAATAAGTAATAATTAAATCAATAGGATGTCCTCACACATACTCGTACATGCACTGTGCTTTTAATCAGTAGATAAATGAATTTTAATTGTGAAATGGTAAGTGTGGAACATGACTGCATAACACGGAAGACAAATATACTGTTTTTCAAATTTTACGCAGAAAAAAAATAATTAAAATTATTATTTTACAAGTTAATCAAATGTTTATAAAGTACATATTGTTAACGTATTGGTTTACTATAACTTGTTATAGGGATCAGTTGAACCAGCAGACAGAAGTTATACAACAACTTAATGCAGAATTACAAAGGGAGAGAATAGAGAAACAACGTCTTCTCTCAAATAGGTTTTACTTTTACCTTTAATAAATAGTTAACATAAAACAAACCAAAGATTTTATTTATAGTATGATATCAATCTGCTTAAGTGCAGTTAGAAAGAGGACAAGTTAAAAAGGTTTCCTGTGGGGATAAGTTTTAATAATTTAAAGATATTTCGTTTAACTGCTTTCAAATTGTATGAAAAAAAGCAACAACAAAACGTTTGTATCGAGAAGAAGAAAGTATCAATACAGGAAAGTCTTTGACCGGAGATAGGAGAGGGTCGATTCGTAGGACACCCGTCTGTATCATCAAGACGTTTGAGTTTCATTGCAAACGTCTTAATGATACATACTACAGAACTATTTTCATGTTTACATTTAATTCTTTTTATTATTTAATTGTCATTGAATATTCTTTCATATACCCACTTGAAACCTCCATATGTGCAAGAAGAAGAATAGATTTTATTAATTCGTTTTAAAAAATTACAAGTCAAGTACGGTTTACAGATCACGTGCTCCTCCATGCCTCGAAACTTAATCGCCAGCCTGCAGGGAAAACTACACCTAAATCAAGTTAATAGACGCCCAATGCCCCTTTTTATGCATTAATATCTACAGAATCACGAGGAAGCTCTTAAAGCTCGAGCCTGCAGGGCGAATGATATAATGTAAAGTCCGAAGGCTTCTTCAGATGTTAATTTATCAAATAGGTGCATTTAATTAACTCCATTCTTCCATAAAGGTATACGTAAAATTGATTATTCCGCGTTTCGATGTTTCTATTTCGTATAAGGAAACACTTGTTTGTTAGATGCTTTACACGTGCTAGTGCGGCGTCATTGATAATGTTATTTTACGTTATGGTTTAGTAATAAAACTACCAGGGCTGTCATTGCATTAAGCTGTTTTAAATTGCGCCCGCAGTCACGCCTATTAAAAACGAACAGCAATGGCGCATGGTCACGATAATCTATACGTTAATGCATGTTTTGTTCTTCTTGAATGAATACCTGTCGTAGTAAGCAAGAATATACTAGTACTTTAACTTGATATATTTTTTTCTGTTAAATTATTCATCGCATTGATAACCTTTACAAATAATTTTATCTGATACTGGATTTTTGTCTCCCTTTTTTCAAATGATCGTACATTATTTTTTGTTTAGAAAATGAAAAAGTAAACGCTCTATATCAATTCTATAAAACTATGTAAAGTTATTTTGATATGTTTTTTCTTGTTTTTATTTAGTTTAAACAGCTTACAGAGTATTGGTGTAAAAGATAAGAAAGGAAAACTACAGATCACTCAGCTCGAAGTTGACAAGAGGCTGTTACAGGAGAGATTAAACGATCTAGCTGTACGAAATCAAAGAGGAAGGTAATTTACATCATGTTTTGATACGCATTTTATATTAACCTATTAGTCAAGAGGTTATATCTAATAATTCAAGATTCGTATTCATGTAATTCTACAACTTATAAAATGTAATCAATGACCTTCTAGAGTTTGCACAACGCGATGTTCCATCAATAATGGATCCAATCTTATCTATTTAGCCTCATTTTTGGAGTCCAAGAAAGTCCATATTGTCCTATGTCATGTAATCGTTCACAGCAGTAAAACTTGAATGGAATGAGGCGTTAGGTTCGATTAGTGTGTACTCGTCGAATAGAATTCAGTATTGTATCCAATATAGTCAAAGCGAGGTTATACTCATATGTCTAAGATTATGAGGTTATTTTACATGTACATCATTAAGTTCAATAAAGAATTCTATTACTGCCATATCTGTATCAGACGAGACGCTTGCTGAGACGGAGTACAATAGTGCTTCGATATGGAATTGTTTGTACTCTGGAAAAGAAAACGAGGCTAGATGGGATATAATGCTGATATTACATAAATTGTTTTTGACTCTGCAAATGAAACAGGGTAGATGGAGAATATTGTTTATATGACATGAATTGCTTAAGACTCTGCACAACTAAATAAGGATTGAGCAATTTTATTTTCGTAGGCTCTTAAATTCGTTCAATATTTTAAAATGCAAATTATGTAATAAAAAATTGTCACCAGCAGACGAAATGAAATATCTTTTAATCCTAAAACAATGGATTGATCTATAATTAAAAACCAAGAAAATTAGTGAAAAAATAAAGGTCTTACAGTATTATTTGTAATGTATTTTAGAGAATATCTGTCAAAACTTGAAGCTGAGAAACGGGAACAAGAAGCGTTGTTCGCCAGTCTGAAATCGCAACTGCGACTGGAAAAAGAAGAAAAAGAAAAATTAAAATCTCGGTAAATCTTTCATTGGAATACGAAATCTAACAGTTTTGTTAAATGTAATATAACCGCTTATAAATAAAAAAATGCCACTTTTGCCACTTATTCACAATTAAGAATAAATTGTCTTTAAATATAGTTTGCTGGTGTAAATTTTAGTACCTTACTATTTTCTTATTACAGTAACATGCACTAAGTATTGGTTAAAATGGCGGTCATATAAATTTTTGCAATACCTTATGAACAATCCTTCCTTTTATACTTCATAAAATGTTCTTTTAATCTAATAACTTGTAAAATTCTTGTTGGGATGCTTTGACTCTGAGTATGCTGAGATGAAATGTTGGTCCAAATATCTTGAATATGGCAGAAATGACCCCCCTCAGAATTAATCAATATCAGTATTTTTGTAAAAATCCTATTTATAAAGAACCAGATATGTTCAATGATATTCAGATCTATTGACTGGACAGCCCATGATATAGTTTTAATATGACTTTAAGCTAGGAAATTACTGGTTTCCGTTGAAATATAGGGTTCAACCTACCGTTGGAATATAACAGCATACAGTCTAAGGGAAGCAAATCAATCAGACATTTAATCCAAAATTGTCATCATTTTAACCAAGACTAATTATGACATCTTAGTGCATATTATATATATTTATCATTTAACTATTTCCTTGTTTGTTTATTAAGGGTTGAGATATTATCATCTAATCGTGATATATCAGCAATAGAGGATGACTCATCAAATTTGTATGCACAAGTCAACAAAAGTAATAAAGATACAACTGAAATTGAACATCATGATACTGAACGTAAACGATCGGTGTCCATGAACCATAAAAACGATTCTGTACAACATGAAAATATGGATACGAAATCTACCGGATTCGAAATAGACCATGACGCTTCAAATAACGAAAATTCTCGCACACAAGTTCAAAGTCAAGTTTATGAAGAGGTTGAATTTGAGGACAAAACAAATAAAGAGTATGATGGGAATGATGATGAGGAGCCATACATTACTTCATATGCTTATAATAAAAGTACTCCATCAACAGAATCAGGCAGTATGACATCAACACCACGAATTGTTGAAGATGTTCCTTCTGATGATGTTCCGTCAGACGATACAACAGAACCAATATGGGATCATATTCCAGCCTCTGCTGAAGTCGATATTGAAAATGTCACAACTCGATTTTAGAGTGTTTTGAAAAAACTAGAGACATTAAATGCTAGAATACTCGGCACAAGTGCCCGACTAAATATGTCAAATAATGAACTACCGAAAAAACAAATGATCAGCATAAAACCTTTTTTTATGTTTTTTTTCTTCATGGTTATGAATAATGATATATATTGTTGACAAAGACAGTATTTATGTATTTATATGGTGTGTTGATTTGTTTTAATGCGCTTTTGTTTGTACAACTAGTTTTATTTATCATTTTACATGTATATACATATATGAGCGGTGCAGGAAACAATTGCGTTGTTGTCTTTTGTTTATGATGAGCATAGCTTCAGCTGCTTATACTGCTGTTCAGAAGATATAAACTAAATTATGTAAAACCCTATTAAAACTCTATTTTGTATCTGGGTAATGCCTGTCATAATTAACCTTCATTAATGAGTACTTATATAATTTAAGAATTTGACATAAGAGTAATTGCATCTCCATAATTCAGCAAAATAATATTTGTATATACAAAGAAAGAAACTTATACAACATAATTTACCAATTATATTTACTAGCAACGAAACCTTAATGATTAAGCCACCTAATTAAATTTTGATAATATCAAAGTACATGATCCAGCTACTTAATTAACCAGTAAATATATCTACATGATTCAGTAACCTAATTTAAAAGTAAAGATACTCAAAAGATTCAGTAATATTATTTATCAGTAACGCTTCCTACATGATGCAGTGATCTAATTTACCAGTAACGATTGGTACAGGATCCAGTAATTTAATTTACCAGTAACGATTGGTACAGGATCCAGTAATTTAATTTACCAGTAACGATTGGTACAGGATCCAGCAATCTAATTTACCAGTAACGATTGGTACAGGATCCAGCAATCTAATTTACCAGTAACGATTGGTATAGGATCCAGTAATCTAATTTACCAGTAACGATTGGTACAGGATCCAGTAATTTAATTTACCAGTAACGATTGGTACAGGATCCAGCAATCTAATTTACCAGTAACGATTGGTACAGGATCCAGCAATCTAATTTACCAGTAACGATTGGTACGGGATCCAGTAATCTAATTTACCAGTAACGATTGGTACGGGATCCAGTAATCTAATTTACCAGTAACGATTGGTACAGGATCCAGCAATCTAATTTACCAGTAACGATTGGTACATGATCCAGTAATTTAATTTACCAGTAACGATTGGTACAGGATCCAGCAATCTAATTTACCAGTAACGATTGGTACAGGATCCAGTAATTTAATTTACCATTAACGATTGGTACAGGATCCAGTAATTTTATTTACCAGTAACGATTGGTACAGGATCCAGTAATTTAATTTACCAGTAACGATTGGTACAGGATCCAGTAATTTTATTTACCAGTAACGATTGGTACAGGATCCAGCAATCTAATTTACCAATAACGATTGGTACAGGATCCAGCAATCTAATTTACCAGTAACGATTGGTACAGGATCCAGCAATCTAATTTACCAGTAACGATTGGTACAGGATCCAGTAATTTAATTTACCAGTAACGATTGGTACAGGATCCAGTAATCTAATTTACCAGTAACGACTGGTACAGGATCCAGTAATTTTATTTACCAGTAACGATTGGTACAGGATCCAGTAATCTAATTTACCAGTAACGACTGGTACAGGATCCAGTAATTTTATTTACCAGTAACGATTGGTACAGGATCCAGTAATCTAATTTACCACTAACGACTGGTACAGGATCCAGTAATTTTATTTACCAGTAACGATTGGTACAGGATCCAGCAATCTAATTTACCAGTAACGATTGGTACAGGATCCAGTAATTTTATTTACCAGTAACGATTGGTACAGGATCCAGCAATCTTATTTACCAGTAACGATTGGTACAGGATCCAGTAATTTAATTTACCAGTAACGATTGGTACAGGATCCAGTAATCTAATTAACCAGTAACGACTGGTACAGGATCCAGTAATTTTTACCAGTAACGATTGGTACAGGATCCAGCAATCTAATTTACCAGTAACGATTGGTACAGGATCCAGTAATTTTATTTACCAGTAACGATTGGTACAGGATCCAGCAATCTTATTTACCAGTAACGATTGGTACAGGATCCAGTAATCATATTTACCAGTAACGATTGGTACAGGATCCAGTAATCTAATTTACCAGTAACGATTGGTACAGGATCCAGTAATCTAATTTACCAGTAACGATTGGTACAGGATCCAGCAATCTAATTTACCAGTAACGACTGGTACAGGATCCAGTAATTTTATTTACCAGTAACGATTGGTACAGGATCCAGCAATCTAATTTACCAGTAACGACTGGTACAGGATCCAGTAATTTTAGTTACCAGTAGCGATTGGTACAGGATCCAGCAATCTAATTTACCAGTAACGACTGGTACAGGATCCAGTAATTTAATTTACCAGTAACGATTGGTACAGGATCCAGTAATCTAATTTACCAGTAACGATAACTTTATAATTAAACAACCTAATTTTACCATTAGTGATATCTAACTGATTCAGTCATCTAATTTACCAGTGACGATAACTTGATAATACAATTACCCTATTTACCAGAAACGATACCTACTGTATTAACCAATCTAATTTCCCAGTAACATAACATTATGATTAAGCAACCTTACTAACTTCATAATTCAGCAACCTTATTTACCAGTTTCAATAACTTTATGATTTAGCGACCTTTCTTACCAATAACGGTACCTCATTGATTCAGCAAACTAACTTACCTTTTATGAAAACCACCTGATCTAGAGACTTAATATACCAGTAATAATACATCCATGATTTAGCAACTTAATATACCAGGAATGATACATCCATGATTCAGCAACTTAATTAACCAGTAATGATACATTCATGATTCAGCAACTTAATATACCAGAAATGATACATCCATGATTCAGCAACTTAATTTACCTGTAATGATACATCCATGATTTAGCAACTTAATATACCAGTAATGATACATCCATGATTCAGCAACTTAATTAACCTGTAATGATACATCCATGATTTAGCAACTTAATATACCAGTAATGATACATCCATGATTCAGCAACTTAATTAACCTGTAATGATACATTCATGATTTAGCAACTTAATATACCAGTAATGATACATTCATGATTAAGCAACTTAATTTACCTGTAATGATACATCCATGATTTAGCAACTTAATATACCTGTAATGATACATTCATGATTTAGCAACTTAATATACCAGTAATGATACATTCATGATTAAGCAACTTAATTTACCTGTAATGATACATCCATGATTTAGCAACTTAATATACCTGTAATGATACATTCATGATTAAGCAACTTAATTTACCTGTAATGATACATTCATGATTAAGCAACTTAATTTACCTCTAAAGATACATCCATGATTTAGCAACTTAATATACCAGTAATGATACTTTCATGATTAAGCAACTTAATTTACCTGTAATGATACATTCATGATTAAGCAACTTAATTTACCTGTAATGATACATCCATGATTTAGCAAATTAATATACCTGTAATGATACTTTCATGATTAAGCAACTTAATTTACCTGTAATGATACATTCATGATTAAGCAACTTAATTTACCTGTAATGATACATCCATGATTTAGCAACTTAATATACCTGTAATGATACATTCATGATTAAGCAACTTAATTTACCTGTAATGATACATTCATGATTAAGCAACTTAATTTACCTGTAATGATACATCCATGATTTAGCAACTTAATATACCAGTAATGATACATGAATGATTTAGCAACTTAATATACCAGGAATGGTACATCCATGATTCAGCAACTTAATTTACCAGTAATGATAAAGTTATGATGTGGCAACTTAATATACCAGTAATGATACATCCATGATTTAGCAACTTAATTTACCTGTAATGATACATCCATGATTCAGCAACTTAATATACCAGTAATGATACATCCATGATTTAGCAACTTAATATACCAGTAATGATACATTCATGATTCAGCAACTTAATTTACCAATAATGATAAAGTTATGATGTGGCAACTTAATATACCAGTTATGATACATCAATGATTTAGCAACTTAATATACCAGGAATGGTACATACATGATTCAGCAACTTAATATATCAGTAATGATACATTCATGATTCAGCAACTTAATATACCAGTAATGATACATCTATGATTCAGCAACTTAATATACCAGTAATGATACATCCATGATTTAGCAACTTAATTTACCAGTAATGATACATCCATGATTTAGCAACTTAATATACCAGTAATGATACATCCATGATTTAGCAACTTAATTTACCTGTAATGATACATTCATGATTCAGCAACTTAATATACCAGTAATGATACATCCATGATTTAGCAACTTAATATATCAGTAATGATACATTCATGATTCAGCAACTTAATATACCAGGAATGGTACATCCATGATTCAGCAACTTAATATACCAGTAATGATAAAGTTATGATGTGGCAACTTAATATACCTGTAATGATACATCCATGATTCAGCAACTTAATTTACCTGTAATGATACATTCATGATTCAGCAACTTAATATACCAGTAATGATACATCCATGATTTAGCAACTTAATATACCAGTAATGATACATCCATGATTTAGCAACTTAATATATCAGTAATGATACATTCATGATTCAGCAACTTAATATACCAGTAATGTTACATTCATGATTCAGCAACTTAATTTACCAGTAATGATAAATTTATGATGTGGCAACTTATTATACCAGTATTGATACATTCATGATTCAGCAACTTAATATACCAGTTATGATATAGGGGATGTCAAATGTGCTTTGGCAAAATGACTTCAAATAGGATTGTCCCCCTTTCATTGAAATTTTCTGCTGATCACAGGACTGACATACTCTTTTAAGTTCAAATATCTAATTGACTAATAATTCTAGAGACTTATTAAATCTTTTCTGTTCTTGAGAAAACTATGAAGTGTTAGTTTCTGAATAATTTTTTATACTTAAAACATCCCATTTTCATCCGATTGTTGTTTCTGCTTTTTTCAGCCAATTGCCAGTCATATGGTATAAGTTCTGAAGGGGAAAAGTAACAGTTTCCATACACTAAAGCAGAAAATATAAGACAAATCTGTAGTCTGTCTTAAAGATATTCGATGGTAAAGAATGTTAACACAATACAAGTTTGCTTCTGCTAGATGTGTAAGATTCGTTTACTTGTTAAATGACGGGAAAGTAAACATATAGCATCTGCGAACAATAGCAACATATCGGATATTTCCGTCAGTCTCCAGATAAGCTCTAATTAGGAATAATTGGCGAGATGTTCCACACGTATCACTCGCTCATAAAAAAAGTGCTTGGTGATATTCTAGCTACATTTTAATGTAACTATTTTTCGGAAAATGAAATAGTGAAACACTATTCAGAAAATAATTATCAATTTCTACGGTTTAAAGGATTAAAATGAAATCCTCGCTGTGTTAAATTTAACGTTTACAAATAATATTTTTCGATTTTTCATTTTACAACTTTGCTTACCTCGATGTTAATTTTTTGTTTACGTGAAGACGTTTTTTGAAGCGGAGCATGTGCATCACAATTTTTGTAGACTGTTTCTTATAATTTAGGGCTTAAATTGAGATTCATAAACTTTAATTCGATAGGCAAACATTAATTTATGACGCCAGCAATTATCCTTAACACCGTGAAGATGTCTAATGACCTCTATAGTAGCACAAAGCAAAGATATGCAACTCTTATATTAAAAACAACACTGTTGTGTACTAAAGTTATCTCCCTTTATATAGTTCGTCTATACAGTAGTCGTCCATTATTACGTTTGATACTATCATATTTTCATCTATCTTAACATTTTAACATAGCCCTTAGTTAAATATCATTTGTTACAAAGTGTTCCTAAACATCATAGATTGGGTAATCTTTGTTCTATGTAACTAATATATGTATATTGAAATGTTTCCACGATATGAAAGTTGTTAAACATTAAGATAGAAAGGAAAATGAACTTGAAAAAGACGATTTTGCAAAGAAATAAAACATATCAAATAAACGTTTATATTTGCATAACAGTTTTCAAAAAGATTATAAAGATATAGGAAGAATGACCAGTATTCTTCTGAATATCAATTATTTACTTTATATTTGCGCAAACATGCATGCAAATATATCACATGGTGTATGGTGGTATTTTTGTCAGAAATATCTACGTTATGAACGGAAAAGATTCATACTACCCTCCAAACAAATGATACAACAATGTTGTCACATAGAAACAAAAATCTGTTTTAATTTGCAGATATTTTATTAAAATGTTGAATATTATAACATGAAAATTCAGCAAAGTAAACTTTTATTCAAACAAACTGGAAAACGTTAACTTAGCCAAGCAATTCTACTGTGGTATATGTTATCTCAGGTAAGCGATTCTACTGTGGTATAAGTTATCTCAGGTAAAAGATTCTACTGTGGTATAAGTTATCTAAGATAAGCGATACTAATGTGGTATAAGTTATCTCAGGTTTACGACCCTGCTGTGGTATAAAAAATCTCAGGTAAGCGATTCTACTGTGGTATAAGTTATCTCAGGTAAGCGATTATACTGTGCTATAAGTTACCTCAGGTAAGCGAATCTACTGTGGTATATGTTATCTCAGGTAAGCAATTCTACTGTGGTATATGTTATCTCAGGTAAGCGACCCTACTGTGGTATATGTTATCTCAGGTAAGCGACCCTACTGTAGTATATGTTATCTCAGGTAAGCGATCCTACGGTTGTATATATTATCTCAGGTAAGCGATTCTACTGTGGTATAAGTTATCTCAGGTAAGCGACCCTACTGTGGTATATGTTATCTCAGGTTAGCGATTCTACTGTGGTATAAGTTATCTCAGGTAAGCGATTCTACTGTGGTATATCTTATCTCAAGTAAGCGATTCTAATGTGGTACAGTAAAAACTCTGAAAACCGGACCCTGTCCGGTTTTCAGAGGATTCCGGTATTCAGAGGGTCCGGTTTTCAGAGTTTTTACTGTATAAGTTATTTCAGGTAAGCGATCCAACTGTGGTACATGTTTTCACAGGTAAGCGATCCTACTGTGGTATAAGGTATCTCAGGTAAGCGATTCTACTGTGGTATAAGTTATCTTAGGCAAGCGATCCTACTGTGGTATAAGGTATCTCAGGTAAGTGATTATACTGTGGTATATGTTATCTCAGGTAAGCGATTCTACTGTGGTATATGTTATCTCAGGTAAGCGATTCTACTGTGGTATAAGTTATCTCAGGAAAGCGACCCTATTGTGGTATAAGTTATCTCAGGTAAGCGATCCTACTGTGGTATAAGTTATCCCAGGTAAGCGACCCTATTGTGGTATAAGTTATCTTAGGTAAGCGATTCTGCTGTGGTATATGTTATCTCAGGTAAGTGACCCTACTGTGGTATAAGTTATCTCAGGTAAGCGATTCTACTGTGGTATATGTTAACTCAGGTAAGCGATTCTACTGTGGTATAAGTTATCTCAGGTTAGCGATTCTACTGTGGTATAAGTTATCTCAGGTAAGCGATTCTACTGTGGTATAAGTTGTCTCAGGAAAGCGATTCTGCTGTGGTATAAGTTATCTCAGGTAAGCGGTTCTACTGTGGTATAAGTTATCTTAGGTAAGCGATTCTTCTGTGGTATAAGTTATCTCAGGGACGCGATTCTACTGTGGTATATGTTATCTCAGGTTAGCGATTCTACTGTGGTATAAGTTGTCTCAGGTAAGTGATCTACTGTGGTATAAGTTATCTCAAGTAAGCGATCCTACTGTGGTATATGTTATCTCAGGTAAGCGATTTTTATGTGGTATATGTTATCTCAGGTAAGCGATTCTACTGTGGTATGAGTTATCTCAGGTAAGCGACCCTACTGTGGTATAAGTTATCTCAGGTAAGCGATGCTATTTTGGTATAAGTTATCTCAAGTAAGCGACTCTACTGTGGTATATGTTATCTCAGGTAAGCGATTCTAATGTGGTATCAGTTATCTCAGGTAAGCGTCCCTACTGTGGAATATGTTATCTCAGGTAAGCGATCCTATTTTGGTATATGTTATATCAGGTAAGCGACACTACTGTGGTATAAGTTATCTCAGGTAAGCGACCCTACTGTAGTATAAGTTATCTCAGGTAAGCGACCCTACTGTGTATAATTTATCTCAGATAAGCGACCCTACTGTGATAAATGTTATCTCAGGTAAGCGAACCTCAGGCGAGCGATCCAAATATGGTTAAAATACCTCAGGTGAGCGATCCAAATATGGTATATATTACCTCAGGCGAGCGATCCAAATATAGTATTAATTACCTCAGGTGAGCGATCCAAATATGGTATTAATTACCTCAGGTGAGTGATCCAGATATGGTATAAGTTCTGAAGGGGAAAAGTAACAGTTTCCATACACTAAAGCAGAAAATATAAGGCAAATCGGCGCTAGTTCGTTATAAAAGGCAAATCGGCGCTAATTTGTAATAAAAGGGAAATCGGCGCTAATTCGTAAGCAGCGATATGATGTCATCCCTAGTATGCAACTCGTTCATAAAGGCGCCTGAATGACATCATTTTAAACTTAATAAAAACATAAAACATGTAAAATATTTATAGCAAGCTGTACATGAAATACAACGGAAAGGTATGGATTATAGAAAACTAAAAAGATTCAAGATTCAATAATTTACCTGTTATGTGCGATTAATGACTGATATTTCAGAATTTATAACTATATTTCTACTGCGTTACTAACGCAGTAAGGGCTATTTTTGCATATTTTGACCTCTTTTCGGCAATTTACGTGGGTTGCAAGTGCCATTGATGATGTTTGCTTCCTTTTGGTTATTCACAATATTATACATATAAATACATTTTCAAAAATTCATGAAGATTAGCACGAATCATGCTGCTTTAACAAGTTTTTTTTAAATGTTTGTAAGGTAGGCGAGGTATAATAATAATGTTTTAAATATTTTCTACGTAGTTGACAAATTAGTAAAAAAGGTAATTCATTTTCGATCATATAAGAATTACAATTTAAACAAATTCTCTCCGTCCTAGGAACATTTGTGTAGCGTCCGCGTTCTTTTGCCAAATCATGTGAAGATGTACGAAATTTCGTCAAAGATATTCTGAATTTTGCTTCCGGTATAAAGTCGAGATAAATTCATGTTTAAATAAACAATACGTTTCGAGACCAGGGGTGTTATTTATTGATGATAATCATCCAACATCCGTTGCTTAATCATATTTACGTTAATTTGAGTGTTAAATTGGTTTGTCAATAGACCATGATTATAAAGTATTTCTTTTATCTGACTAGCCCAGTTATTACCATTACATGTACGTATAATGTATTTCCTAATTCAGCATCCCTCCACAACATATTAGTTTTGAATAGTATTGGTTGATAATCTAAAGTAATTAATCTAAGCCAGTATTTGATCAGTATAATTTTTTATAAAAAGTTATTGGTGTCCTTCCTTATACGCCGTATTGAGCATCTACGTTTGTAGATCGTTTTACCCATATAAATATCCTACAAAATTTTGTATGTACATTCTCAATATCTGCTAAAATGTGATGACACCATACTTCCGCACACTAATTAAGAGTAGGCATTGCAAGAGAATCAAAAAGGTATATTCTTTTGGGATACAGGTATTTGTAATTGGTTGTAAACAATGAATAAATTATGAAGAAAAAACTGAGCATGTTGAGCGATTCTCTGTTGCGTGCGATTCCAAATCCCGTTTTTAAACAACGCCAACATAGTTAAATGACTGAACGATGTCAATACACGAGTTACATAATTATGTAAAAGTCAGTTTTCAGAGATATCATTGTTTTTGTTTACTGTCCAGACCATGCCCGGTGTCTAGTCCAAGATAATGTCCGGACCAATATCTATCGTTATAATTTACCAAGGTAATTATGTACGTAAGGTAGATTACTATGACCTGTCCTACTTATTATCACTTTATCACCTTGTATATAAACTGTTAGAAAGGGTGAACACCCGTTCATTTGTTCTCTACTTGCCGCAGATAACCGAACTATATAAAATAAACCTTGTTTGTATTCACTTGAACACCCGAGTTCACGGTTATATTGTAAAGGTAAAGTAGTAACATTATTACGTAGATCTGTTCTACATTATGTTAGAAGTAGCTCATCATTTATGTTTTGTACTTTTAAACCAAGTGACAATATTTTAAATACAACCAAGTGACAATATTTTAAATACAACCAAGTGAAATATCTATGAGATTTATTACAAATAAGGTACTATATTTCATTACATTTGTTTCGTTTTTATGTTGAATTTAATTATATGTCAATAAATACGGCATTTTATATTTAGTCAAGGTCAATTAGACTATTTATGTAGATATGTAGTTCATGCTAAATAGACAAAGGGTAACGAAACGGTAAACATACTTGTTAAAACGAAAATTCATTTATACGTGTATACCGTCAAGTTATAAATTAGCATTTAAACTTCAAATATTTCTTCTACTTTACAAAATTGTAAAACTTTATTAAAACTTTGATAATGTGAGAGAATAAAACATAGGACAATATACTGATTAAATATAGTATTATAACTTAGAAATGTTGTATGACCTAATCTTGTACTCTAACTAGTAAGTACTATCTTTAACGATCAAATATCAGTACATATTGGTAAGATAAAAATAGTGCATTACATGTTAACCGATCTATATAAGCAAGTATAATTGCTTAATGTGAAACAAAAATGAGAGCTAACAATTCTAAATCTAGTAAAAATGATGATGTCTTAGATAAAAGAAAAAATATTGTATATTTACTTTTGTTATGGGTAGTTTATTTTTTGTAAATATTGACAACTTTTATACATAAGTCAGGCATAAAATTGGTTTAATTTTCAATATACCTATTCTGATAGAGTACAAAAAAATTTATGTTTATCGTGATTTCCTATATATCACATTGAGAAGTGAGAAAATCTCTAAAAAATGAGAATATTGTTTTCACTTTTTCGTGTGATATATATCATATTCACGATAAAAAAACAATTACCATCTATATATATCAGTTTAAATATCCATAAAATAAACACATCATATATGTATCAATGTAGATATCCATAATAACAAACACATATCATATATGTATCAATGTAGGTATCCATAATAACAAACGCATATCATATATGTATCAATTTAGATATCCATAATAACAAATACATATCATCTATGTATCAATGTAGATATCCATAATAAGAAACACATATCATCTATGTATCAATACAGATATCCATAATAACAAACACATATCATCTATGTATCAATGTAGGTATCCATAATAACAAACGCATATCATATATGTATCAATGTAGATATCCATAATAACAAATACATATCATATATGTATCAATGTAGATATCCATAATAACAAATACATATCATATATGTATCAATGTAGATATCCATAATAACAAACACATATCATCTATGTATCAATGTAGATATCCATAATAACAAACACATATCATATATGTATCAATTTAGATATCCATAATAACAAATACATATCATCTATGTATCAATGTAGATATCCATAATAAGAAACACATATCATCTATGTATCAATACAGATATCCATAATAACAAACACATATCATCTATGTATCAATGTAGGTATCCATAATAACAAACGCATATCATATATGTATCAATACAGATATCCATAATAACAAATACATATCATCTATGTATCAATGTAGATATCCATAATAACAAACACATATCATATATGTATCAATACAGATATCCATAATAACAAACACATATCATATATGTATCAATGTAGATATCCATAATAACAAATACATATCATATATGTATCAATGTAGATATCCATAATAACAAACACATATCATATATGTATCAATGTAGATATCCATAATAACAAATACATATCTTATATGTATCAATGTAGATATCCATAATAACAAACACATGTCATCTATGTATCAATGTAGATATCCATAATAACAAATACATATCATATATGTATCAATTTAGATATCCATAATAACAAATACATATCATATATGTATCAATGTAGATATCCATAATAACAAACACATATCATCTATGTATCAATGTAGATATCCATAATAACAAACACATGTCATCTATGTATCAATGTAGATATCCATAATAACAAATACATATCATATATGTATCAATTTAGATATCCATAATAACAAACACATATCATCTATGTATCAATGTAGATATCCATAATAACAAACACATATCATCTATGTATCAATGTAGATATCCATAATAACAAACACATATCATCTATGTATCAATGTAGATATCCATAATAACAAATACATATCATATATGTATCAATGTAGATATCCATAATAACAAACACATATCATATATGTATCAATGTAGATATCCATAATAACAAATACATATCTTATATGTATCAATGTAGATATCCATAATAACAAACACATATCATCTATGTATCAATGTAGATATCCATAATAACAAACACATATCATATATGTATCAATGTAGATATCCATAATAACAAATACATATCATCTATGTATCAATGTAGATATCCATAATAACAAAACACATGTCATCTATGTATCAATGTAGATATCCATAATAACAAACACATATCATCTATGTATCAATGTAGATATCCATAATAACAAACACATATCATCTATGTATCAATGTAGATATCCATAATAACAAACACATGTCATCTATGTATCAATACAGATATCCATAATAACAAACACATATCATATATGTATCAATGTAGATATCCATAATAACAAACACATATCATATATGTATCAATGTAGATATCCATAATAACAAATACATATCATATATGTATCAATGTAGATATCCATAATAACAAACACATATCATCTATGTATCAATGTAGATATCCATAATAACAAACACATATCATCTATGTATCAATGTAGATATCCATAATAACAAACACATATCATCTATGTATCAATACAGATATCCATAATAACAAACACATATCATCTATGTATCAATGTAGATATCCATAATAACAAACACATATCATCTATGTATCAATACAGATATCCATAATAACAAACGCATATCATCTATGTATCGATGCAGATATCCATAATTACAATACATTGATTCGTTTTCTTTAAATGTCCTTGTTGTTTCTACATTTGATGTCGTTTTCTTTAATTGTCCACGTTGTTTCTACATTTAATGTCGTTTTCTCTAATTGTCCACGTTGTTTCTACATTTAATGTCGTTTTCTCTAATTGTCTATGTTGTTTCTACATTTTATTTCGTTTTTTTAATTGGCCACGTTGTTTCTACAATTGATGTCGTTTTCTTTAATTGTTTATGTTGTTTGTACATTTGATGTCGTTTTCTTTAATTGGCCGTGTTTTTCAACAGTTGAGATTGTTATCTATGTATGCCCATGTTTCTATATTTGATGTTACCATGAAAGTCCATGTTTTTAAAACATTTAATTTTGTTATTTTTATAAACAGATTATGACTTAGTTTAAAGACAAATTAATGTATGTTTATAGGACAAAACCCCGTTTGGTTGATAACACTTTTGTAAAAGTGGGGGTAGTGCTCTATACGTATGGTAATGATGTAGGCATAAAAGTGGTTAATTTTATAAAAGAAAGTCGGTCGATACCTTATATGTCCTGCTCTACTTTATAGAGAGAACATTCATATATGAAATTATAATTGTATTTTATTGTTAACAAGACTGTACTGTTTAAGCCTATTAGAGTAAAACTCAATTGATAACGCATTGTTTTGTCAACTTTTAAAGTTAATTAAATGTTAAACATTATCATATCATTTCACAGAATTTCCCTGTTCTTTTTAGCCACAAACTTAATGTTAGAATCGGCTGGTATATATATAAACTAATTCAAAATGTGTCTTGAAAATTGTTACACTTTTCATATTTTTTGAGAATACAATGCATATTTCCTATGTTTATTATCACACGATCTCTATAATGAGCGTCAATTTGGTAGGTAGTAAGGTAGTTGGATATTCGAATAACCAACTACCTAATATAAGTATGACATTAAACCATAAAAAACAGTCATTTCATAGAAAATGTAGAACTACAGTTATTTTATGTTTTGAAATTGTACTAAAACCGAAGCGAGCCAAAATGAATATTGTGAATTCTCAGTTTTTTGTTTATAGACCTATTTTTTTGTCAAATAATTTAGGAAATAATATTGAACATACAGGAAAATATAATTATTTCAAATAAAAGAAAAAAAAGGAATAAAGTAACAGGCTGACAAAATTGTAATTAATTATCTTCTTAAAATCGCGCACGCTTTATATCAAACTGTGATCTATATAAGTCTTTAGATACATGTTAAGCTCCTCCAGTCCAGCTCCTGTCAAAAGGTATATAAAACTATCAGTACAAACAGCCACATATACAATATATGACAAGATGCTGGTTTAGTTTTTTGTATCATTCTCTACACTCTGAAATTCTAAATAAATCCTCCTTTCAAATTTCTGAAGATATTGTGATAAATTATGTATATCTGAAAGGTAGCTTTCGCAATGTTAACTTTCAAAGCAAATCCTATATTTAAAATGAAACAACGTATTTTTAATGCAACAGAACATTGCTATAAACTGTGAATGCCCTGGTTTTTATCAAGCGCGAGTAGTCATCCGGTTAAAAATTGGTAAAATAGACTTGTATGTCCAAATCAATCCCTGTGGTAAAATAGACTTGTATGTCCAAATCAATCCCTGTGGTAAAATAGACTTGTATGTCCAAATCAATCCCTGTGGTAAAATAGACTTGTATGTCCAAAACAATCCCTGTGGTAAAATAGACTTGTATGTCCAAATCAACCCCTGTGGTAAAATAGACTTGTATGTCCAAATCAATCCCTGTGGTAAAATAGACTTGTATGTCCAAATCAATCCCTGTGGTAAAATAGACTTGTGTGACCAAATCAATCCCTGTGGTAAAATAGACTTGTATGTCCAAATCAATCCCTGTGGTAAAATAGACTTGTGTGTCCAAATCAATCCCTGTGGTAAAATAGACTTGTGTGTCCAAATCAATCCCTGTGGTAAAATAGACTTGTATGTCCAAATCAATCCCTGTGAAAATGATTGCCAAAACAATACAGCTGCCTCGTATCATATTTTATTTTCAACTGCCTCGTATCAGTTTGTACAAATATTTTCTTGGAAAATAAACATCTCTTTTAAATGAAATTTTAGTAAATGATGCAAAATTATATTTATAATTTTATAGCAAACTCTGGAAAAACACGAGTATATACTTGATTTGAAGGAATTAAACGATGGCGAAAGCAATATGAAAATGGAAGTACCAACAGAACTTCATAAATATACTGGCCAGTTCTCTATAACTTTTGATTAATAAAGAAGTTGTGCTAGCTACAATTGTGGAACTTGCTAATACATATTGTTTTCAGCAATTTCCAACAAAAATAAATAATATGTCTTCATATTAATTGCTACATATGTAGAGCAATTTGGCCGCAGCAAACCTAATTTTGTCCTGTAACTGCGGGTCAATAGAAATCCTTTTCGATGCACCTACCAACATCTACAGCCTCGAGCGGGCTAGTTTGGACACTGGGTAGGTAAAAAGACTATAAAAAATAAAAGAGAATTTCATTGATTTTTTCGAAGCTGTAAAAGAACTATCCTTATTTGCGTAATATAAATATACAAATCAAATTTCTAACCTACGTGTACTATGTAGTAATCAGTAAGGTTTAGATCTTTGACATCTCTGCAACAGTCTGACATTATTGGCGCGTGAACCAGGGAGGCTCTCATTTAATGAAAAGCCTTAACACTGCATGTATTATCGGTTAACGTCCACTAGGTATATATAGAGGATATTTGTTTAATTCAGTGTAAGATCGGAATATATTTCACCGAGTGAGCACCAAAAGGTATATTTCACGAGTGGCGCAGCCACGAGTGAAATATGAACTTTTGGTGTTCACAAGGTGAAATATATTTCGATTTTACACTAAACTAAACAAATTTTCTTTTTATTACATGCAAAGAAACGTTTTAAAAAGACATTAAACCTAATACTGAATAGAAAGCGCGCCAAATAATAATACAACGTGACGTCATTTACGACGTCACGTCATTAAGTTGGTACCCAGTACTGTGTACGCTTGTATTTCACTGAAACAACGTAAGGGGCTTAAATTCAAAACAGTGAAATTATCAAAGTGGTAATTTCACTGTTTCAAACAGTGAAATTACTAGTTTTATTTCACTGATATATTTCTATAAACCAGCGAAAAGCATGTAATAAAAGCGCTTAACTCTTACTGTTCTATAGAATCCGGTCTTTTCTTTCCCGTTTTTTATAAAACCGTATATACATAGACTAATGATTTTTCCAAACTATGTCAGGTCAGAGCTACTTTGATTAATGTTTTAGTTCAAATAAGTTTCAGTAGAAAAGTTTAGGTTGATCGCCATATTATAAATATAGTATGCTAATTTATAAACTTATCTACATTTCATTAAACTAACTTGTCGGGTCCACTCTTTCAAGAGTTAGGGCTATAAAATATTAAAGAAAGGTAATAACTTTAGCAAGTATAGGGGATACGAATATCAGAAAGTGTAAACGTACATGATTGTTAAGATAACAAGTGAGATAAACGTGTATAACTTGAGTATATAGATTATTTACGTTGGTATATATTTGCACTTTTCAGATTCAAGTTCATGATAAGTTGAGAATAAGGTTAAAATATATACCAGTACAGGTGTACTCGCGGGTTTATCGTTTTACATGTTCTACATAATCTACATGCTCTACATGTAAAATTGAGATATATAAATTACTCCATCCATCTGTTTGATCTTCCCTTATTTTAAAGAATCATCCATTTTATAATACCTTATATTACAGAAATTAATTTGCGATTACACAGTAAGTCAGGAAAAATAATGAAAACGTTGTCTATTTTGTTGTATTGTGTCTGTGAACACTTAGCGGTCTATTTAGTATTTCTTATAAGACTGTTTTTTTTCTTCTAATCACCTGGCGGTATCTTGATTGTTTTCTCTGATCACACGGCGGCCTATTTCTTATTGAATTTTATTATATGGTCACTTGAAGGTTTATTTCTTATTGAACTTATTTCTCTGGTCTTCCGGGGGTCTTTTTTATTGAATTTAGTTCTCTGGTCACCCGGCGGTCTATTATTTCTCTGATCACACGGCGGCCTATTTCTTATTGAATTTTATTCTCTGGTCACTTGGCGGTATATTTTTATTGTATTTATTTCTCTGATCACACGGCGGTCTATTTCTTATTAGTTTAAACATATTTATTCCCGAAAGTATATATAATGTACATACAAATATATAACAAACAAAAAATATTTACACAATGGAAAAGGATGAGAATGAAAGACTTATTTTTATTGAATTTATTTCTTTGATCACTTGGCGGTCTATTTCTTATTGAACTTATTTCTCTGATCACCCTGCGTTCTTTTACTTATTGAATCTATTTCTCTGGTCACCCGGCGGTCGTTTTTTTATTGAATTTATTTCTCTGAAAACACGGCGGCCTATTTCTTATTGAATTTATTTCTCTGATTACACGGCGGCCTATTTCTTATTTAATTGTATTCTCTGGTCACTTGGCGGTATATTTTTATTGAATTTATTTCTTTGATCACTTGGCGGTCTATTTCTTATTGAATTTATTTCTCTGAAAACACGGCGGTCTATTTCTTATTGAATTTATTTCTCTGATTACACGGCGGCCTATTTCTTATTTAATTGTATTCTCTGGTCACTTGGCGGTATATTTTTATTGAATTTATTTCTTTGATCACTTGGCGGTCTATTTCTTATTGAATTTATTTCTCTGAAAACACGGCGGCCTATTTCTTATTGAATTTATTTCTCTGATTACACTGCGGCCTATTTCTTATTTAATTGTATTCTCTGGTCACTTGGCGGTCTATTTCTTATTGAATTTATTTCTCTGATCACCCTGCGTTCTTTTACTTATTGAATCTATTTCTCTAGTCATCCGGCGGTCGTTCTTTATTGAATTTATTTCTCTGATGACACGGCGGTCTATTTCTTATTGAATTTATTTCTCTGATCACACGGCGGCCTATTTCTTATTGAATTGCATTATCTGGTCATTTGGCGGTATATTGTTATTGAATTTATTTCTCTGATCACACGGCGGCCTATTTCTTATTGAATTGCATTCTCTGGTCATTTGGCGGTATATCTTTTTTAAATTTATTTCTCTGATCAAACGGCGGTCTATTTTTTATTGAACATTATTTCTCTGGTCACACGGCGGTATTTTTTTTTGAATTCATTTCTCTGATCACCCGGCTGTCTGTTTCTTATTGATTTTTTTTCTATGATCACCCGGCGGAGACACTAACAAAGAAATAACAATGATCGAAAATACACGATAAATGATTTACACAGGGTTTACATTGTTGTCAATTAGCATTAAATAGGAAAGAATAATAATTTTATATGTTATTTTTTTAATTTTCAGGAGAAATAATGAGAGACAAGAATCAAATGCCCGGATATATGGTGGTTTGGTTTTACCTAACTGCGATCATTTGCACAATTGATGCTAGTTTTATTGTATTCAGACCGCGTACATTACCAGGCGGAAATCTTAGTACATTCTTCAAATTATGTAAGTTTATTTCTGTCCTACGATTATATTAGATCACATAAATTAGCATGTGTAAATAATTATAAAAGAATTCATATCTCTATGTAATGTATTATATGATAATAGTATTATATGATAATAGAAATATCATGTAAGGAAGTGACTATGTACATATCTGTTTCTTTTCTCAATGTTACAAATAATAACTGTCAGAAATGTATTGTATATGATTAACTTAAATACGTTAAAAGCAAGTATTTTATATATATAATAATAATGTCAACAAAGTATAACTGCAAGTTATTTTATAGGGTTAACGCACGTTTTTCCGTTTTATAACGTCTGCAGAGTCTCCTGGAACGGTTGGTGCCCGAGCCCGTTACGAGGGCTCCAGCCATTACGAGGGATACTGCAAACTTTATAACACGAAAAAGACAAAAATGGCCTTCAGAAATTCAGAAAATGATTTCAGATTGACGGTAGAGAAAAGAGCAGGGGCATTTAGACTTGACATTAGAACCGTTATTTTCAAATCACACAAGTTTATAAAAAAAAACTGGCACTAAACGTTATTCTCACAAAGAAATATAAATAGTATTTATCAATATGAATAACAATAAAACCACATTTTCTTATTTTTATTTTGTGTTATCATGTTTTCTAAGTGTTGTCATGTTGCAATCGAATCCGTGCCAACTAAGCACATTTTGCTAGTTAGTAATCATGTTCTCTACATATATCATTCAATACTCAGTAGATAACCATGTTCTCTGAATAATATAATTTGAATACTCAGTATACCCCCGTATTCTGTAAACATATCATTTGCATTCTCAAATTAGAACCATGTTCTCTACATAACATAATTTGATTACTTAGACTTAGAATAGAACCATGTTCTCTACATAACATAATTTGATTACTCAGAATAAAACCATGTTCTCTACACAATATTTCATTTGCATTCTCGGAAGAAAAGCAATTTCGATACAAGTATCATTTGCGTACTCGGTAGACTTTTATAATCTCTACATACTCAGTAAACAACCATGTCATGTACATATATAATTAATATACTCGGACGACAACCATGCAAATAATGCAATCTCTTCATCATATATCAATGGAATACTCGTAAAGCAACCATATTCTCTACATAAATCATTTGGATACTTGGTAGACAACCAGGTTATTTAAACTAACATTTGCATATCGGAAGATAATAATGTTTTCTACATACATGTATAAACCATGGTTTCTACATATAACATCCGAATATTCAGTAGACAACCATGTTCTCTGCATAAATCATTTGAATAATTATGTTCTGGCGTACTCGGCAGACAATCATGTTCTTTATAAATACCATTTGCATACTTGTTAGAGAACCAGGTTTCCTTCATATATCATTTGATTACTGGGTACAAAAATTTCATTTCAATCAAAAATGTATAAATTTCATCGTCATCAAATATTTCTTTTTTCGTATGGTAGACACATACGTACGTATATGATTAGCGTACTTTTAACGGTCCGTTGGACACCTGTGTCAGTGTTACAAGTTCATAATGTAGAGTAATCGGTGCATAAATGTCATCTAATGTATTATAACAGACGGCTCACTTGTTGATCGGGCAGTGTATTATGTTATTATGATAAAAATTTTGTTTTATTTTTTTCTTTCATTTTTTAATAATAAAGTATTGTTTTAATGTTTTATACTTTAATTATGTTCTGGGTTTTAAATGTTAATATATTGTTTATCAATTTACAAATTGCAGGTTAAAGTGCTTGTGGACTTTTTTTTAGTTTTTGTATCAATTAACCTGTTTAAGCGTTTGCTTAGTGATTGGATGGAGTTAATATTTTGTGTATTTTTTCTATCCGGGGTTTCGTTTTTAAGCACATTTCAATAGTTTCATTATATATTGAAAATACATGTATTAAAATTACTACATTAAGGAACAATTACGACTGCACTAAGACACAAAAATGACTTCATTAAGAAACAGTAATGACTACGTTAAGAAACAATAATGACTACGTTAAGAAACAATAATGACTACGTTAAGAAACAATAATGTCTACGTTAAGAAACAATAATGACTACGTTAAGAAACAATAATGGCTACGTTAAGAAACCGTACTGACTACGTTAAGAAACAATTTTGACTACGTTAAGAAACAATAATGTCTACGTTAAGAAACAATAATGACTACATAAAGAAACAATAATGACTACATTAAGAAACCATACTGACTGCGTTAAAAATAATAATGACTACATTAAGAAACAATAATGACTTTGAATAATTCACTATACATATATTTTCTTAATTTTTTATTCAATTTCATTACTTTAAACATGTGTTAAATCTAAAACCTTCAATAAGTTCCCGAAACATTATTTGAATCTTGATCATCTACCACACAAACGCATTCAAATGATTTAAGCTTAACAGGAAAAGGCCGTGTTGAAAATGTTGATCAAACCCTTTGTTTTTGTATTATGTGTGTACAATTGTGAAGTATATGTGTATATATATTATAACATTACACGTATTAAACTAAAAATGTCGGTAGACAACCACGATATCGGTGTATATATAATATGATTAATGGGTTGAAAATTATCCATTTAAACAGAATATTTCAACTTTATCGCCGTCAAATACAGTACAATAAATGACCTCGTTCTATATTGGTGTAGCAAGTTCATTAACAAGCATAATCAGTGCATGTCATAATGTATATAAGTTTTAATGCTGTATACGTGTACTTTATCTAGGTTACATGGTCTAGTTATTACAATATAGATCTTGAATTAAGAAATTACAAGTTTATATCCTAGGTACAATTGTTTAAATTAATTAGTTTTTTCCCTTCTAATCATTTAATACATTAAGCGTTAACTTTGTTAAATGAGCGGATTGGTTGATGATTTTTTACCTATCATTTTGTTAATACGAAATTAGTTTTAACAACCTATCTAAAGATAAACGCAATCAAGTATTGAGTAAACCATCGGAAAAAATCTTTTTATGATATAATTGTACAATGTGTGAGTAACTAGTTCATGTATCAGCTTGGTCAAATTTGATCATATTTGTAGCATGACAATATTCATCAAATTATAACTAATATTTATATACTAGCGTAGCATTTTAAGTGGTTACGTCGCATGTTTATAATGATTACGTCACATGTCTCAATATATCTAACGATATCATTATGAGAAACGTGTTATTTTTTATTTTCACAGATCAGTATTATATTTACACAGACCAGAGGTACAATGATATTGGAGATTCCTATGTTTTTACACAAAGTTTGTAAGTATGATTGTTGTACCAGAAATTTTAAAAACGAACCAAAAACACTCTGTTGGCTGCTTGACGAGACTACGATGCCATTTCCACCACCTGCAGGAGCGAAACTACGAAAATACGTGACGCGAAAAACACAAAAATGTGCCACATTTCATGTTTCACTTTTATGCATTTGCCCTGCGATACCGATTCACGACATATTAAAAAGTGGCGCGGTTTCGCCGCTTGTTCGTTGTACCTTTGTTTTCGCTGTGCCAGTCAAAGACAAGAAAACCTGAAAACTTTAATGTGTTGTGAAAATGTACTTTCGTTTAATTCGCCTCGCCATTGAAACTTAAAAATAATTTACATAAAACACCTAAATACGACATTTTGTCCGCCATGCAAAAAAAAAAAAAAAACAGTAGGAATCGAAGAAACATGAATCGTGACGTGTTTGTGTGTTATAGCGTCGCGTCCTTTCGTAGTTTTGCGTCGCCAGATGAATAATGTATCTTTGTATTTTAGTCTTTTCGCTCCACAAACACAAAAAATTGATATAAGTGTAAAATTATAATATTATTGATGTCCATTGTTTGTTAGACCAACATTCTAAAATAATGGCTTGTGACTAATGTATATAAAAATGTGTGCTTGACATAAACGTTTTGGTAAGGAATTGTAGTGTAATGTATGTGACACTGTGTTTGCCCTTAACATCTAGGTACAGCATTTTAACATTATGATCTTGACGCCATGTGTTGATATTGAACGTCAGGGTAATGATTATGGACATTATGTATGTGAAACAGTGTGTTTGTTCTGAACAACAGACCATATTCTTTGAAATTGTGTATGTGACACACTTTGACTTTGTGTTTGTGACACAGTGTGTTTGTTAAAAATGCATATGTGACATTGTGTATGTGAAAACAGAGTTATTCTCTTCAATGTTAAGGTAAAGCCTTGTAACATAATGCATGGTGAGCCGTGTGTTTGTCCGTTACATTTAGGTAAATAATTGCGACATCATATATGTGACATAGTGTGTTTGTCTATAATGCAAATGTATAGGCTTGTGATATTATTAGATGACACAGCGTGTTTGTCCTAAACATAAAGATAAATATTTTCCATGGTATGTTTGTGACACAGTGTGTTTTTCCTTTATGTAAAAGGTATATTCTTTACGTTGTGATATTACTATGTGACACTGTTTTCTCGTCCTTGATACTAAGGTTTATTTTTGAATGCATTTGAATTTACAGTTTTTATTCTAATATTTATTTTACAGAATGAATTATGTCGAGGTTGTCCTGAACATCGTCACATTGATATTTGTAAGTACTCTTTTTAAATGTAAACACACTACATAATGATAATACTCCTAATTCAATAATTCTAGGAATGTTATTGGTGGTATAACGATGTCAATATTATAGTTAATATAAATTATATTCCTTAAAATGTCCCATAGAATAGGAGTACATGTATATTGAATATAAGAATATTTTGTGCGATTTCAATGTTTTTATTTAAGAATTTCAAGCATTACTTAATGTCAGTTTTATTTTAAATACACATAACTATACGTGACAAAGTAACATATAAGGCTTATCTATATCTGATATCGTTTACACATACAAAGATAAATTTCTTTTAGAATTGGCGTCGATAAGCATCAAAATATCAAATAACGTCATATTAACAATTAAGTCACACATACGTTCATAGGGGCTTAAAAAGTGACATAATCATATACTCCGAAATGTTTTGTTTACACAGCATTACAGAAAGATGAATGCAACAAAGCTGCTAGCGTTTACAGTATCCGTGATGACATTCTGGAAAACAGTTCTCTACATTTTAATGTTTTATGAACTGGCCGGTGGTAAAGACTACAGAGTTGGGAATTCGCTGATTGAAGAAATATTTATTGTTCTTATTCCAAATGGAGTATGGATAGTTCTACCATTTATATGCATGGTGGATTTATGGAAAACCTTTCTACCTAAATCCGGGAATTCCGGGAAAAGTAAACAAAGATAGATAAAAGCTACATGTAGAAACAGTAAAACAAAATCATCATCAGTAAAAATAAAGATAAAACACTTAACATTTTTCTTGCTTGTAACAGTTTTAAAATATACAAGATGATATTAAAATTAATGAGTATAGACTCAATATTGGATTTATTGAACTAATTGAATAAATTTTAGTATGACAATAAATAATATAATATTTCCCATACATAAAATAAGAACAGTTTCGGTAAAATATTTAAAGAAAGTACCCCTCCCTCCCATACAGTTCTTACAGAGTCAACAAAGCGGCATGGAAATATGATAAAATGGTCTATTTTTATTTCTGTTATATTTACCAGTGTAAAATTGAAGGGAAACAAATCTGTTATATTTTGGGTAACAATTCTTCAAGCAGTTATTTCCCTTATTCAAATGTTAGTCTATTTATTTCTATTAAATATGGTAAATAAACCTTAGTTTGTGGTAATTGTTAATCCCATAACCATAACCCTAAACTTTATTGTTTTCTTCGTATTTTTTAGTGTTAATACGCGCTTTTCTACAGAAATTATAAACTTCGACGGGAGCAATAGCGACATGAGAATGCTTCTTATTTCTGTAGATCGGCTATGGATGCATACTAACATACTTAGTGACAAGCTTTATTTGGCGTCATTAATATTCACTTTATTACGTCACTACCAGTCGGCGAGATTAAACAATTACATGTTTGATGGGAATAAATTTAATTTTCCTTATAACTGCATGATTTACGTCACTTTGGACCTGAAGTCACATATACCCTTGTGTGCGACTAATGCGAGTTTTCATTGCTTGATATTGAAGCATTATTTTTGGAAAACATTTTTAGATCGACTTCGTTTTTGAAAAATAAATAGAGGTATTGTTACTGTCATGCCGGCGTTAGCGTAACCGTTGCCGTCTTGATCGTATTAGTGAAACTGTTTTCATCCTTTAGGTTAAGCAGTCATAATTTAGCTATAGAAACCGACCGTTATCAAGGTAAAAATAGACAGGAAATTACAACATGTAAGTGGTGCTAATAATCGGCACATATTATTTCTAATGGATGCAATTTGTTGTTTTATTTTCTTTTCCGCCTTTATTTGAAAACAGAGAGTATCGATCCTGGTGTGAAAGACTGCCGCCAGGTTTATTTAATATATATAACTACGTTTATATCATTTACTTTAATTATGACTTGAATCGTACATGGTGCAACTGAAAACTTGCATCAGCTTACATATGCTGTTTGTTTTAAAACATTATTCTAAAATACATTGATTTGTTATGAACTAACGGGAATCACTTGTACGGTAATAATGCAGATTGTATCAATCATAAGATTAAGATTATAATTATTATTTGTTATATCTTATATTGCTGACGTTATGACATGTATTATGGTGATCATAATTAGATAATTGTATCTTGTTACTGATATCTTAAGCTTTCTAATGAGTGCACACATATTGATATCTGTCACAATACTATTGTTGACTAGTGAGCCATTGAATATGATGTGATATTCACCGGCAGATGACATATTGACCGAGGCGATAGCAACCTTATATACATTTACAAATTTTGCCTCGTTGAAGCGCGGGAAAAAGACGCACGTGTTGGCGTGAAACGTGCAACGACTACTCGAACGCGGCGCATACAATTTATTCTCATCATTGCGCTGTAGCCTTGAAGTATAATGCCATAAAGTGTTGCGTTTTGTTCTTTATGTCATAAAGAACAAAACGCAACACTTATTATTTAATTAACACGCGTAATTAACAGTCTACGGTGGTCATTGAATATGAGTCTAAATATATTTTTAGACTGGGAAAATCCAATTCAGCCAGTGAATATGATACTTCACCCAGTAAATATGATTTTATAAAAAGTTCTGTTGACTTCTCTTTGGACCAATAATATTGCAGCTATATTTAGATCATAATTATAATAAGTACATTTAGTGACACAGTGTATGCATGCAATTGTGTAAAGTAACATACCTATAATAGCTGTATGTGATACAGTGACAGTGTCTTGATTTATTTCCGTATGAAAATTTTAAGTATTTTGATACACTCGATATTTAAGTATAATATATTTACTACTATAATGATTCTTGGAGTAGTTAACTGAATATGATTTTTAGTTTTTATCAGAATAAGTGTAAGTACACCATGAGAAAAAAATATCAAAGAAATGTCCAGATTGCCGCTGAACTTACTAATTTGGTGAAGATGTTATTCAAATAAATAATATATTATTATACAGTATCAAAAATCAGTATACAAGATCATTTTAAAATTGCCCCAAATGAAACGATTTCATGTGACTTTCCTGCCGGAATGAATGGTACAAATGGAACTGAATTTAGGCCAGATAGTAAAAGAAATTTGTATACATGTATTAAAAAAAGTACATTTTTTAGCCTTGAAGTTCGTTCAGCACGACATTGCTGCGTCTGCATTTTTGTGATGCCTTTAGTTCCTTCTATTTGATCCATTTTCTAGTTAGTTAGTTCCAATATTCCTACTTAGATAAAGCTGAGCCATCCTTAGATATATATTTTATTTAGTTTCGCCCATTTTTCCTCGTTTAGGGCACATACTTTCTTATACTTTTTCTAAATTCAAAATTTTACCATTTTCAAGTGCATCATTTACAGTTTTGCCGTGTTAGATGTTCTTCAGGGAGTATGTTTTCGTCTATGTTTGTAAATTCAAAGAAACAAAACTTCCGAAAACAATGAAGACAACAGTGTTACCACTCGGCTAATTTTACTTTTACGTGTATATCTGTTAATTGCTAACAATTCCTTTACTTGTATCAAGCAAACAATTCTTTGAAGCATATATATATATATCATTTTCATTCTACAGTGTAACATAACTACATATCACATCATATCCACCTTTCCTTAACATCGTTTGATCATAAATCTAGGTTAACGACAAGTGGATTATTTTTATGGCACCCCTATCTGATTGTAAAATGTTCTGCATTGTTCAGTATAAATAAGAGTATAATGGTTGTCTTTTACATGAAACATTTTGGGTTGCAATAATTTAGTATTGTTACTTTTGCTAACTAAGACATCATTACAATAACACAACGAGACACGAACACTATAATAATTATATATAATACATGACAGTTATACTGACACACAAACCTTTAATCGTTTTACATACAGGTATTCAGCCGATGGGTAAAGTGACCATGCATTTGTAATAGTGTTACTTGTCTTTTTTATCCGGGTACAGGAAAACATTTCTGTTTTGTTTTCCCTAAATTAAAGTTGCTGCCAGTGCTACATTTTATGTGTTATTATCATTACAATATTAGTAGGTCAAGAATAAACTGACTAAAGTATAAGCATGTCAACTACAAAACCAGACTATTTTACAAAGTTCTATCGTTTATTCCTTTTTTTACATTAAAGTAATTAACAAAATATATCATCATTTATTATTTTCTGTTACCATCAACAAACAGCGTTATCATCGTGTTTTTGTCAAATATCATATAATTTACTGTCTATAAATAACTATAAGGAACGGTAACTATCTGTAAACCTTTTAACGTAACATCTCTATCATAATAATAGACTTAATGAATCGTTTTGTGAACATGACTGATAATTTGCCATTGTCGTTTTTAGATGAAAAATTCAAATCGTTTAGTAGCAAATAAACCACTCTGAATTTGCTTTTAATGACCTATTTTAAGGAGTTACAAGTGCTTTAATGTAAAAGAATTATGGTTCAATCTTACGTCAGGACCACAGACTAATACATTGCTGACATAAAAAGTATTTGATAGTTCATTTTCAAGTGTATAAAAAAAATGTTTAACTGTGACCGTTTTAATTGTTTTTATCTGTCCGTCGACAAGCTGAATACGAAATCTCTTCCTTATGTTTACGTAAATTAAAAGCAATAAATTTGATGTTGAAACTATCATAGCAAGGTATTTTCGTATATTTCTTTTCATATTAATGTTTATCAATAAGCATCTATATCAATGAATTGCCATCATGACATATTTCCCACTGAAACAATTGTTATCACAAGGTTCATCTTGTATAAACTATAAATATCTCCTAGTTAATACTGTCATTGATTATGTGACCATTTAAAGAAATAAAGTTCTTGTTTAACGGTTAACTGATAGCATTTCAAGTAAAAAACAACGTTATTTTGTTTGTTTGTTTGTTTCATTTAATGCCTTTTCCCAACAGTATACCATCGTTCCTGGAGAGTTACACCAGTACTAGACTACCTTCCTCCGTGCTAAACTACCAAAGCATCTCCCGGGGATCGATCCCACGCCAGAGAGGTAACTGGATTAGAAGTCATCGACTCTAAACCCCTCGACGTTATTAAATCAAAGTTATAAATGCTAATTATATTATCTCTTTTCTTTTCGAGTTGCTGTCAAAACATAGTTCATTTGCAAATGTTAAATTGAATTTAATTAACACATCTTTTTTGTCGAATATTGTATAAAAAATATTTTTAAGTAATGACTATAATTTTCAGTAGTGTAAACAACATGTTTTTATAGCTCACAAAAACAAGAAATGACTAATTTTTTAAAACCAGAATATTGACAAAATGTAAGATCGTATTCAGCACAATGACCCGTCATCGTGGGTCAAATTCATCAAACGTGCCAGACACAGGAATTAATTTCTTCTAACAAATGGATTTAAGAGAAGCATTTGCAATATGCTGTAATGAAAATCCAAGAGAAAACCCACGCGTGATGTTGATGTATTAAAATTTGTTGCAATTCAAACGAAATTTGATCTAACATTGCAGAAAATTTTAACTTTCCTTGTTTACATAAATGTCATTAGTTCGCCAATTTAAACAACGTCATTTTGATAACTGCATTAATAAATGCCAATATCGTCTTGCAACATGAAAATGGCAATTTCGCAATAAATTATACTCTAGACATAACGCACATTATCTTAACTTAAAAAGAAAGAATTCTTTTACCTTTAAACTTAGATATAAAATTGAAGTTTTTCATTGTTATGTTAAGATGGATTATTTCCAGACTTTCCTATACTGTCCGATAATGTAAATGATGACGACAATGAGATATCACAATTTGATTAACAGATATTGATTACAGTTTTAGAGAAACACAAGCGTCTAATTGAGACTGGTTAGGATTATATCTGACAAGATAATGTATCAAAATACTGATAAAATTCAATAGAATTAGAAAGATGATGATTTGTGATCGAGAAAAGAAAAATGATATTAGATATTTCTCAAACAACAAATACAAAAAGAAAAAAAATAACAACGGACAACGAACTCTGGCTGTTGCAGAGAGTATAATAGACTGAAACAATTGTTTAACGTAAACGGGTATGCTTACCAACTATAACAATTTAAACTGAATCATTATGTGTTTAAGTCAAGACTGTATTTTTAACATATGAATTTACGAGCAATTTAACTTTTGTTTGATTTCATTAAGTTTCAAAACATTTGTGCAAGAAATATCATCCAATAGGTACAGTTATAAAACAGAAGAGAGTGGAAGATTTTTGTAATTTTACTGTTGAAATATTTGATTATATAGTCAATGTCTACAAATATATATTGGTAAGATTTCGAATAAATATTGACAATTTTGCCTCTGCGGGGTAGATAATGTATGACACACATGTAATTCATATACAACAGTACAAACGTTGTCTTGAAAAGTATTATAATACAGAATTCATTGTTTTGTTCCTATTACGGTTCGCGTCACCAATACGTTAACAGAACTTTCAATCCAGATCATTACACAGTGAATCAGTTTTCTTTCGACAGAATATGAAACTCTTCAACACATCTCTGTGTTTTAAAAAAATAATATTGAAAACATTTGGTTATGAACCTTTTCCTGTACAAAGAGCACCACATCTCGTTCGATGGTTGCATATAGTGATTGTGTGATAGTGATTTACTGAAAATGCAGTAACAATTTTGAAAATGGCATATATTATTAGTTTTGTTTTATTTATGTTCATTTTAAATGGCATAACAATAAATATTGTTGTACATCTTGTTCTTTACTAAATTAATTATACTACATGTATATTAAAGTCTTGTGATTGTACATTCTGAAGCAAGCAATAATATTGTGACACTGTGGCTGAAGCTGGCTGTGATAAATGACCCCATTTTCCCCTCTTCACCATCCTTGCTTGCACTGACTTCACTAGTCAACTCATCAACAGGCGGTGATTCTTTATGTAAATCTGAATTCTAAACACTTATAAACATAAAAGTAACCGCATTGACAGTGTTATTCTTGCTAAAAATAAAATATAAAACAAAAATGTATACTTGGCTAAACGTCCCATTTAGTACCTTCTTATGTAGACCACTTGGAAAATACTTAATGCTAGAATATAGAAATTCTCTTCCATTTAACGAATAAAAAATTAAACATATTATAACTTCAGTGCTTTTAAGAAAAAATAATACATTTTTTCACAAAACAATTAAAAAAATACAGATGCAGGCCGCATTTTGTCAGTTTAAAAAGTCTTATTAATTAAAATTAGCATAGTATCCGTTTAAGCATGATTAAAATATTGTATTCATAAGTTTTTGTGATAAGCAACGTAAGAAAGCACAACATGCGTTTAGGGTTTTTTGTATTGTAACAAAGGACATATAAATGAATAATAAAAG